TTGTTGTTGCGATCTAGCATGACGCATGTGTTGGGGCAAATTTTTTCCTTTTGTTTTTGTTTTCTCACTTACTTGTTATCCCGTATTCTTTTTTTTTTTTTTCGCTATCCGGTATTTCGTTAATTAAGCTCCTTTGTTACGTGCTGTATGTAAATTTCGTTATAGTTTGTTATCTCGCCCTTATTTTTTACCAGTTTACGTGTCTATTAGTGTAACAGCATTAGTGGAAGTAGATTTTTTTCCTCGGTGGCCCTGACCACCAACCCTGTCACCCTCAGCAATTGAAATTTACTTTTATGGTTCGTTAATAGTGAAAACATTTGCTGATCGTGAACGTGTTGTGTTTTTGGAATTGGCCCTTGCCCGTTCATTTTGCAAATTCCAAATGACGGAGTAAAGTACGGCGCATTCATGGACAGCCTCGGACACCCGCTCAAGCTCTCGAAGGAAAATGGCGAGTTCATTTCAAGAAGAAGCGTTACAAGAAGCTTTATTCAGCTTACGAAAGTCACTGGCAGGATATGTTTCAGCAATGACAAGAGCTTGTCAGCAAATTGATCCTCTTCTCGTCGATTACGAGAATCTGGCGAGCGTAAAATCTCTTCAAGCTAGTTTGGATAAGACATGGAACAATTATCGAGAAAGCATCGCACGTTATCAAAGTCTTGTGGACGAAAACAGCATGGAGATTCACGAAGTGAATAATCAGTACGCCTCTCAGGAATTACGAAAGGACAACTACGATCAAAAGATTAAGGAATTCACTATCGCTGCGGCTACACATTTTAACGAGCAAGTATCTCGAGACTTAGCGAACATTGGTTTGGCATCGCCGACACCATCTGTGCGCTCCGTAAGCAGTCGCGCATCAAAGTTAAGCGAAGCAGGGGAAAGGCTTCACATCACGAAGATGGCGGCGGCAAAGGCTGCTTTAATGGAAAAGCAAACTGAATTGAAAAGGAAAAGATCAGTGGAGATTGAAATCAAACGTCTTGAAATGGAAATGAACCAGAAACAGTTTGAGTTGAAACGGCAATTAGAGTTGGCAAAGCTCAAAGCTGACAGAGACATTTCCAAAGCGAAAGAAAAGGCTGAATTGGCTGAGCTTGAAGATAAATTTGCAGAAGCTGAGTTCTCGCAACTTTTGTTAAATGGAGATTTATCACCTAGCCGTGTTCTCAACCCTGTAGAACTGACTCCTGAAATTACTCCTGTCACCTCGTCATTCGTGTCCCGGCTGTATCCACGCAGGCCTCCACGTTTTCAGCCACGCCTAGGCGAGTTTACACGTTTCCCTCTGCATATGAACGAACTCACGCGGATACGTCATTTACCACGCGAGTTAACACGTTTCCCACCATTGACAGTCGAGGTCACGCGAATTCGACTCTTACTTCTCGAGGTAACACGTTACCTCCTATTGCCACGCGTGGTTACGGGAGTCCGACATTGCCTGCACCATTTCTTCCGTCCCAAACCGTGACATCACAGCCCGACAGCTTCCCGTCATGGTCTCTCCCTTTCGTGGCCTCCACGCATGTTTACACTCGCCCAATTGTGTCCGTGCGAGTTCCCACGTCTTCTTCTACAGTTGCCATTCCGCTTACGCCTACGAGGTTTCCTCTTGTGACTTCGCTCGTGCGTGTCTTCATTTCCAGACAGACCTGCCATGTCTTCAGGGGCAACTAACATTGCGAACCCCTCTATTGCAAGAAATGTTTATGGTTCCCAGCCTAGGCTTTGGTAGATTCTGCTAGCATAATTTTAAGGATAATTCAGCAAAACGAGCATTATTTTAAGCTTTTATTTCAGTTTAGCACTGCTAGCATAATCCGAGCTTTTATGCGTTGAAAACAAAAAAACCCATCATAGCTCTAGAATAATTCAGTTTGTATTTTATTTCTGTATTGTTTTTGGAAAATATTGAGGTCTGTGCTAAGCTAAGGCCCGTGGTCAAATATGGTCCGGCAGGCGGCAGAGGTGACCCTGTGCATAAGACTGAGCCTCAGGCCACCACGCTTATGGCGCGGCGGCTCGGCCCCTCAGATGGCGTCGTCCTCGAGTACATCCACTTCCACCACTTCCAGTTCCGTACCGAGAGTTTTAATCCCTAGAGAACGTGTTCCTAAAAGTAATACCGGAAAGTACAAGGAAAGAGGCAACTCAGATCCAAAGAACATGAGTCCTCGTGATCGAATCGAAGAATTCCCAGGAGAAAATTTGTGTCTTCGAGGTGGAAAACTGTTTTGCAGTTGGTGTAAGGAGATATTGAGCTCTAAAAAGAGCATTTTAAAAAAACCACTTGGCTTCCAAAAAACATGCCGCAGGCAAAGAGAAGTTAAAAGTGACAAAAAAGCGAGATCATGTGCGCACATGCGTATTTGCCACGCTAAAGACTGTAAGACTGGAAGGTGGACTATATGAATGTTCATTAAAGTCAAAATTGATAGAGTTAAGCTACTGATGATCTTTATTTTCCTTAAAATCAGTGTAAAATATAAGTAGCATAATTTCGGTGACAGAGAGCATAATTTTCAGAAAGTAGCATAGTTTTGGCATAATTTCTAAAAAATAGGAGCACTGCTAAAAGCATGATATGTTTTTTTTCGAGCACAATCTACCAAAGCCTATCCCAGCCCATGGTAACTTCACACCACCCAGCTTCTAGGTTTAACACCGCTGGTCAAGACTATACGTGTACTGCAACCTCAACTGGCCCTGCCAACGTTTGGTGTCCTCCATTTGCCCCTTTGCCTACAAGTGAAAACCGTCTCGCAATGATTGCCACCACTATGGAGAAAATGAACGCCTATCGCGGTTTACCAGCGATGCAAGTACTCAAGTTTGATGGTTCGCCCGAGAACTATCCGGTTTTTCGTCGAAGGTTTCATCAGATGGTAGATTCGAAGGCCTTAGACGAGCAAACGAAATTGGCCCGGCTGATACAGTTCCTTGAGGACCTGCGCTGTTAGCTGTTCAGAGATACGAATCCGTCCCGGGTGGCTTAACAAAAGCTCTCCAAGTTCTCCAATATAGATTTGGACAACTCTTTAAAGTGGTACGAGCATGCGTAGACGCCCTCATCAAAGGTCCTGTCATAGCGCCTCAAGACAGACATGGCCTAAGACGCTACGCAGATACAGCGCAAGTAATGTATGACACCCTGGAATCTATGGACTGTCTGGGTGAAATGAACACTGACAACCTTGAAAAGATGATTCTTAGGCTACCGAAGTGGGCCCAAACGAAGTTTCGCGAGCATCTAAAGAACCTCGAACGTCAAGGTCGTGTTATGCCAACCTTTAAGGACGTGGTCAATTTTCTTAACGATCGCGCAGATGTGGCTAATCATCCGTTCTTCTCGAATCCAGTATCTGAGGTGAAGACTCCGAACTCTAAGACACCCGCTCCGAAGTTCAACTCCTTGGCGACGGAAGGAGCCACGGATCAAAGTGAAAATGTCAATGCAGTTAAATATGACAAGAAAACCGGAAAGTGCCCGATGTGTACACGGTCACATCCCCTCTACCGATGCGAGACTTTCAAATCAAAGCCTGTAGACGAAAGACACGAGTTTATCAAGAGGAATCGCGTTTGCTTCAACTGCATTAACTCTGTTGAACATTCTTCTAGATCGTGCAAGTCTTCTGTGCGCTGTCAGAAACTAGAATGTGTTAAACGTTATCACACCTTATTACACTTTTCATCATCTAACCATGAAAGGAAGAGGGCTCACCAAGCCAATCACTGCCATCCGTGACGTTCCTGTGGCTCGACCTTCGCAAGACGATCCTCCTGCTCCCTCGAGCGGCTGCACCACCACAACTATGGCACGACCATCGGAGGTCCTGTTACAAATCGTACCCCTCAAGGTCATCGGGAACAATGGAACAGGACCTCCGATGACTTCCATCTCTCAAGAAGGGATGCTATCGTATTTCCATCGTTTTAGCGTTTTCTTGTGGAAGGGTGAAAACGATTCGAATACGCTTCGTGTGGATGCGTATGTTTTAGAAGACAGAAAAAAATCTCCGTTTTCAAAAATATCCGGGGCCTGTTATCGACGGGTTTACGAGAATATACATAACTGGATAAAAGATGAGCGCATAATTTAAAGTGTTCACGTGCTGGTATGGCACGGGGAATTTATTCATAGACAGGTTTCCCCCCCGGCCTTAATAGGAAACTGCTTATCGCAGTTATTTATCAATAGAGCAGTGACCTGTACTTGTGATCTGTGACCTGTGATCTGTGTTTTTACCTGCCAATTTAGTTGTACATCCGCCGCAAAAAAGTAAAATCTTTGCTTAAAAGGTCTCAAGAAAATGGCAGTTAAGTTCGTTTATATTGATTCCTTGAGCAATAATTTGTTGGTGAATGCCTTAACCACATTGAAGAATAAAACTTATATCTATGTATAAACTGTACTCTTACCTCATCAAATTGTCTAGCACCGCTGCCCATGTTTGTATGCTATTGGTGGAGACTGATATAAAAACCAGTCCTCTTCGTTCTTCTTTACAATAAATTTGCGCAACTTAATTGGGGTCATGGAAGTTCGCGGTGAAACTCAACAAAAAAATAAAAGCGATACTATAAGACAAGGGTTAAACGTTGAACGTTTTGCATGTGACAATCCTAATGCTGATGAACGTAATCTATTGTTTTCGCTCATTAGCATTAAGTTCGTCCCGTGTGAAGGTCAACGTTTGACCCTGGCCTAGAATTGACCACTTCGGTCAAAACATTCTATCACGATCATTAAAAAAACTCAAATATTGCATGCATTGTGGCTTGTTCCAAGTAAAGCTTTTCAGTTAGAGTTGAATTCATTTGTTCTTAATGACAGTCTATAAACAGACCTGGTTAGTTAAGGAATCAAGCTATGTTGGGTAAAAGTAACGTTAATTCAGCGCTGGATTTTCCGTATTCTGCAAGCAAATGATTAAAAGAAAACATCAAATAATGCTGCTCATAATCATTTAATTTAATAGAAATTTCTCACTACAATGTGTGGAAAGAGCCCTTGGTCATGCGCTCCTGGATGTGGAAATTAAAACTTACATACTTTCCATTACGATATCAAATGATCTTTTAACGCCGGTGATTACTAAGTAGGGAGTACGTTTGGTAAGTTTCCCTCATTATATTGTAACATCCAGTTCGTTTGAATTACGTTGCTATATTCAAGTACAGTGAATAGAAGATATTAGAAATAATTACTGTAAGTTGTTAAGTATTTTATTTGAAATCTTTAATTGCGTCTTAATTCAGTAGTCATCAGTTTCCTCTTCAATATTTTTTTCATTGAAACAGTCCGATCGGTTCAGTCATCAGAAAAAAGCCATCTGATAGGTTTCATCGTCTATCCTGATTAAAAAAAAGTACGAGAGAGATTTGAATTAATGACCTTCATTAGATTTCAATAAGTGATGCAAGGCTTGTCTCAACAAGTTCATTTACAAAGAACTTTTATCCATGGCAAAAAATTGCGGACGTGATTTTTACAATCACATCTCTTTATAATTGTGATAGTAGCTGTTAAAAGCAGTAAACAACAGGCTTATATTGCAATTCATTTCAAGGATAAAACACGAACCAGTTTACGGAGGGCTTAATTTTCAGTTCTGCAGGTATGTAGGTGTGCAGGAGAAGTGTCCGATGACGTCATTAATGCGTCACAGCTTCATACGGAACGGTGAAAAATTACTGGCAAAAAGAACGATGACAGTTACGGCTAAACACAAACATAATTCTCAATAGCTCTCACGTTTTTTTTTTCTGATCACGACAAAAAGTTGGCAGTAGCGGTCATTTTAACAAACATTACTTGGATTTCACGAAATATTGATTTTTCCAGCTGTCATCACTGCAACAGAAACTCTTAGCACGGACAACAGAAAGGTCCAAAGGATGACTTTTTTCATCGGACGGTTGTCTGTCTTCTCGTATCTGCAGATTCCTCAACCCCTTTCTGTTGCCTCTGACAGCGGAAAACGGCGACATTCTCTTCTCTTCCCCAGGAAATATATATATTTATCATATCATTACAACTTCACGCCGATTTAAGTGTGTATTTCAGAAATGGGCATAACCGCTGGATTTTGTACCATGAAGGCTCAATTTATTCCTCCGGACTTTCACTTCGAGAGTGCTCGTTTTGACTCGGTTCAAAGAAGGTGAGATTTTATGGCGGAAGACTCAGAAGCGAATTCAAAGGAATTGAACAATGGCTTAATTAAGCTGCCCAGGGCCACGAAGTTTTAAAGGTATCCTTTTGTTCTAAGTGTGTCAATAAAACTGCAGAAAACTATCGCACCTATTGCGGTAGAAGTTTATGGATTTAAGTCTTTCGCAAAACTTCTTCGACTTGGACACATATTTTTCAAACAGGAGAATTTTGAGAGCTTCAAAAAGAGATCTTGAACGAGAAATTTCGACCACTGTGGACCGAGATTGGATTTTTTTTTCTTGCCGAAGTTTCGAAGTACAAAGCAAGCCGCTGAAGCATTTTTTCTCGCTTATCGCTTAATAAAATCCGGCCGAGAGTTATCCATTCATTCAGTCTTAACAGTTATTCATTTCTTCAGAGCAATGAAACTATACAAGCGTTTCTACAAAATTATTTCGAGGAATGATGAACTCCGCAAGTTTTGATCTGCCGATTACAGCTCTTGTTTTGATTTTAGATATTTCCCGTCTCACTCGACTACTCCGCGAATCAAGTTGTCATGCAAATCGGTGAACTGACAATACGCGGTTATTTCGGGCCCTGCAGTCACGTAACTGAAACGCAAGGTTTTGTTCAACAAAAAAAAAACTGAAAGGCGAGCGAAAACGTCCAAAAAAGTGAAATTACACTCTAATAAAACTGTTTCATCCCGTTAAATGCATTCACCGCTTGCTTTGTTTACATTTTGAAAAGAGTTGTTCGCTCTTGATTGCGGAGCTACTGAATGAATAAAACGTTCTAATAAATAACTTCCGCAGCAATTCTTTAAACGCCAAATTATTTTCAAGGCAAGAGAGTATTTCATAAAAAAAATACTATTGGAGACCAGGTATTTATAAGCTTTAACCAGCTTCAAATTTATCAGGATTGTTTCCTTTGTAATACGGTGCGTGACCGAAAATATGTTATGCAACGAGAGTTGTCCGCCACGCTTAAAAGATTTGTAAGCGTTCCCACAGACTGCAGCAAATTTAACAGGCAAGTCCGAGTATTTTAATGGATAAATTTAATACTCATCAGGTAACAATGGGGATTAAAAAGTCAATCAAGCAACAAAATTCGAAACAAAAGAGACATATCGCACCTAAATCAAAGGAATTCCGCTCGTGGATTCTTCGGAAGGTAATCGACAATGGCAAGAACAATAGCCTGAATATATGAATACTTAATAACCCCAAAATTTGGGGTACACACTTAAATCGGCGTGAAGTTGTAATGATAGACACGAGTGTTTTACCGGAAAATATACCACACATAAAATTCATAAAAAACGACATCCGGGACCCGAGTGGTTTATTTTCCATAATCTCACACGTGAGTTTATCGATGACATAATTTTGGTAATTTTCCTCTATTCATTATTTTATCGATGTCATTTTGTCTGTATATTAAAAAGAACATTACACGGCGGCTTGAAGATATGAATTTTATTTTCTCATGGCAAAAACAATATTGTTTTGCCACTCGAAAATAAAATTCATATCTTCGCGCCACCGTGTAATATCCTCTATATATAGACAGAAACATGGATAAGACTTCAAAATAATTAGTCTTTGACACCAAACAAGCTACAACTCTAATAATAATCCTCTCAAAAAAAGAAAAACTCTGCCAGTTATGCTTAGCATATCGTAAACGCTCATTTTGCCAACACTAATTTTTGTTACAGTTTTGGTCTGTAAGAAAATGTGTTGCAATAATGACATTATCGGACAATGAAACCTGCACAACCGAAAATTGAATTCCGATAGGGACTTTTAGCAGAAAATTTGGATAGTTTGTGATGGAGATATCAAAGGTTGAAGATGGTAGGTTTTTGCGTGGAATATTTACACAAATTTTACATGTTCTATCTTCTGAAAACCACAGCAGCTATAAGTCTCAGAGAATTTTGGTTAGAGATTCTTAAAAACGTTGATCAGAGAATGGAAACCAGATGCAGATTTTTTAACTTGTCCTCATTTGTTTCTGGGTATCAGATGGAAATAGAGTAAACTCTGGTGGAAAGATTCCAGGAGACGACATGTCGGCAATATCCTGCATCCTAAACGTCTTTTTATTAGACGTACGTAAAACCACAAAAAATATTTAATATTCTAATGTTATTAGTTTTACTGCAAGGAAAAGTTTACTGGACGCCATAACTAGAACTTTTTGATGACCAGAGACTTTGATCACTTTTAAACGATATTTTATCGCCACGCAACTTAAATCCTCCTTCTACTGAGCCTGCGTGTCCAAGATTTCTTGCAACAAATCTTCGAAAAGTGAGAGACAAAAAACCTGATAACCGTAGCTGAACAATTACCTGTATTCTCTATCTTACACGGCAAAGCCTCGATATCCGTAGGCGCAGGCTGATGTTGTCTCATCCATATATCCCGGTCCTTGGGACGTACCAGGTAAATATGAAATTATAACTTTTGACGGACAAAAACACCCAGCATTTAAGAAAGTTGACGACTCGACAAAATAGGAATTATTAAATAAAACATTTAACGAAACTAACAGGCAATAGATACCGTCCTGCAAGCGCTGTCTTTTGGTGATTACCAACTGAAATTCAAACGCATATCAAGCCACGTGCGTTTGGTAAAACGTGTTCAGAAGAAAGGAAATTTCTAATCCAGGAATTGCAGATTTTTTTTACTCTAAATTTTACAAGACAAGAAGAACCTTTACTTTACCTTTCAGCTTGTATACCATGTTCGCGCCGTTCAAACCAATTCCATTCTCGCATTTTTCTGAAGAACCGAATTTGTTGTAATTTTTTGCTGCTGCTGCTTTCCTGTCTGACACACAAAATGTAATCTTCTTGTTTTTATTCATCATCAAACCAAAGTAGGTAAAGCCCTTGGCGAATGCTACCCTTGCACACTTATTTATTGTTGATTTTCTGCCACTGTCTCCCGACTGATTTGGAATTCTTAAGATCGTCAATCGGAGAGCTTTGTTTCTACCGCTGTTGGCTTTGTAACATCTGAGTTGTTCATACAAGGGGACAGGATCTGAAGAACAAACGGCAATAATAATCCACGTTTTAACAAACATTTCTATAAATTGAGTGTTTTGTTACATATTTTGCCACAATTTGCAACTAAAAAAGAACGCCATAATAAATTGCTCTGAGCCCCACACTCCTATCAATATAATACAAATATAACTGACAAAGCAGTTTAATTTAAAAAGCATATATTGAAAAAGTAAATTTATGTGAAAATTTTATCCAATACTCTTGTATTTAAGTAGTATAGTAGGGAAGAAATTAAACGTTTTGCACAGGAATCTCATTTACTTGCGCAGGAATACATGTTTTTTAATCGTGTAGAGAAAGGGTATCAAGGACCTTAATTTGTAGTAATGCAACATCTAATGCGAAACACCCTGGGGAGTTCTGAAAAAAAATACGAAGCTATAACTCCCTAACTCGTCCCTCTAGTCCACAAAGAACAGTGTAACATTAGTAGAGGACGGCAAACTTCCGACGGAGCGCAGTGAAGTGGTGGAGGTGCTCAACAACTACTTCGCGTCGGTTGCTGTACTTGAAACCCACTGCGGCAGCGTGGAGAATTTTAGTGATCACCCGAGCGTTCTTGGGATTGCGTCAAGACAGGAACACCCATTCACCTTTGAACCAGTAAGCTCCAGTTATGTGAAAGAGATATCTGGATAATTAAATCTATGAAAGGAGGTTGGCGATGACGGCATTTCACCGCGTCTTTTGAGGCTCACAGCACCAGGCATGGCCGAGGAGATTACACGCTTGATTAACTTTTTCACTGCCAATCGGTCTTGGCCAAGTTGGCCAGACTAATGGGAGTGCGGCAATTTGACACCTGTGTTCAAAAAGGATGAGGGCGCGTGAGACTATCGCCCTGTGTCGGTCCTTACAGCGTTGTATGTCCCTCTCCCCAGCACCAATTACCTTAAAAATGATTTTCGTTATAGCGGGGCGGTCGTATAGAACGGTTTGCCTTCGACTCTTCGGCAAGCAGAAGCCATACACATTTTTAAACCTGGCTGCAAGGAATTCTTCAAATAATATGCACTCAGGATCCATGGAAAGCAGGCTGACTTAGTTTATACTATTTATTATTTATTTAATATTATATGTACATCTGTTTTATATTCTATTCATTCTCATCTTATTATATTAGATTAGATCATAGGTTATATATTTATGTATTATAAGAATAGCTTAGAATTTTATATTAGTTATATGCCTGATGTTTTTACCGAGTTTAAATAAAGTTACTTGCCTTGACTTCACGAAAAGTCATGTTATCAGTTATTCTAAAGAGGCGCAGATTAAGGTCCAGTTCACAAATTATCAATACGAACTTACTAAACGAGTAAACGAAAAAGCCTTTCTTGTTTCCTTTCCTGCAATATATGGAACCATACATAAAGTACCGGCGACCAGCATATGGGCCGGAGTAACATCTTCCACGATGTCCCACAGCAAAAAAATGATAATTTTTGTCTTGGGCAAGCTTAGCACACTTTAAAACAGCGGGCTCATTGCTCTGACTTTCTGACCCTTGTGGTTTTAACTCATTTATAACCTTGTTCTTGTAAGCAAAGCATCCAATCTCATAAAAACGGGATACTGTTGAAGAAAAAACAAGAGAAAAGAAAAGGGAAAAGCAGCTTAGAAGATTTTACCAGATATAAGGATTACGCAGAGATTTCAGATCAAAATAACGCAGTTTTTTCTTTTAAGTCAGGACAAAAGGACTAGATATAGTGTCCATAGAGTCAAACGAGGTAGAACAGTCTTACTGAGAGGCAAATAAGATTAAAATCACCCCGTTCATTACAGGAAGTCTACCGTTATCTTGGAATAAACCAACCATAATGTTATCCAAAATTTTCGCTGTCAACGGAACTGTCTTTGGACCACCTATCCTCTAATATTGTCCTAGACTTCTTTTTCGTTAATTGAAGTCCAAAATATTATTTATTTATTTATTACAGATTCACTCCATTACATTACCAGCAAATAATGAAATGAAATAAGCTAACACTACTATAAGTTGTGGAGGAGACAACCAAAAGCGCCAATGCGCCATACTAGGGATGCCCCCACTAATTAAAATATGAGACAAATATATACAAATAGAAATATAAATGTTCTAGCTATCCTTAATAAAGCTTAAAACATTTTTTTAAAAAAATTGCAATACTGTTTGATTCTCTAATATGATTGGGTAAACTATTCCATTTATTTACAATACGGTTAAAAAAAACTATATTTAAAACCATCAGTTCTACTAAAATTTGGAACAAGGTCCTGTGTGTCATTTTTCCTCAAGTTATAACCTGTATTTCTGTCCTTACAAAATATGAGCTTATTTGAAATGTCAATATCATAATGTCCATTAATTACATTTAAAAAATGTAACATCTCTAGTGAACCTCCTATTAGATAATGACAACAATTTTAGCTTAGATAGTCTAGTATCATAATCATCATCAGACCTATTGATCCATCTGGTAGCTCTTCGCTGAACAGCGTCCAATTTATCAATGTTACGTTTAGTACGAGGGTTCCAATTTTCGCATGAATATTCTAATAAAGTTCTCACAAGACTACAATAAAGTGTGTTCATGGTATCAATATCCTTTAAGTCCCTACAAGTTCTCTTAACCAACCCTAAAACCCTATTAGCCTTAGCAATTATTTTATCTACGTGTTGGTTCCATGAAAGATTACTAGCAGTAAATAATCCTAAATCTTTATACACATTAACACTTTCCAAAGGTTGACCTTCAATATTATAATCCCCAACTATTGGTGACTTTTTCCTGGTTATTGGCATGATCTTACATTTCTTGGTATTAATTCTGATCTTATTCATCTTACACCAATCTGAAATTTTATCCATGTCACTTTGAAAAGCGGACAGATCTTCTTGAGTAATAATAACCCTATACATTTTATTGTCACCAGCATGCAAAGCAATTGAACTGTCCTTACTAATTACCGCCGGTAAATCGTTGATATAGACTATGAAGAATAATGGTCCCAACAAAGAACCTTGTGGGACACCAGAGGTTACGGTTAACCAGTCGGAAGCCTCTCCTTTCACTACAACACGCTGTTAATCTATCACGTGTAGAGCCATATGTCGGATAGGTGTTCACACTACACTGGATCGAGCTTTTCGTCAGTTTCAGCACAGAAAGCTATCCAGTATAATGTGCACATACATAGGCTAAGGCTCAACAGTGAGCATTACAGCAGAAGAACTCGGAGAGTGCCCCTTAGTTTTATTACATCGTACTATGTGAGAGAAAGGGAGTCAGTCCATTCTTTTATAGTTACTCCAAGCAAACTCTCAAATAACGTGCATGGGAAGTTTAGAACGTCTGGCTTAATAGATGGCATTTTTTTTGAATAAAGATTGTACAGGCGTTTCCGTTCTTTTCAAGACAAGTACATGTAGCATCCGTCATTTCATGTGATTTTTAGTCTTTTTATTCCTATTTATGTAGTTACTAGCCTCATGCACCTATACTTGTCCATGTTTATAGTTTTATTGTCTGTTTTATCTTTTATTATATGGCCCAGTCTGTTTTCGCCATGCGATTGGTCAATTTGCGGTCCGTAAGTTGCTATACGGACCAAAATTTTTAAAGAAAATGCTCATTTCGGAGCTCTAAATCTTTTTTCCTCGGAAAAAGGGTTTAAATAAAGCTATAAGACGCCCGTTAACCTTTAGGACTTGGATGTTGACTTTGGCCCTCAACAGTTTTAAACTGTGTTTATTTGTGAACAAAGGCGATGAAGAAACTAACTCGTAGTCTTATCGAAGAGGATTCTAGTCAGTGTTTGAAAATTTTATCGTAGTACACAGATAAGAAGACGAAAATCGACTGGCAGAGATTCGAGAAGTTTTGCCTAAGAGAAATGAGTAATTCCTTCGACAAATATGATAACCGATCATCTTGACAAGCTTCTTTGCCATTTGCTGTGTTTTTTCAAAGACCAACGAGAGAAAGATAAAAGCGAGTTCGAGCCAGACACAATGTCCGGTTTTCAAAAGACTCCAGCGTCACATTAACGAGTGAATACTTACAGTGCTCTTAGTTTTGACCGAATAAACTTTAAAATATGTCTGTAAACCCTGAGGACTGGGATGTTGACTTTGCCTTTCCAAATTTTAACGTGTAGCTTTGTTTTAATGAGAACGAAGCTGATGTAGAAACTGAATCGTAACCTTACCGAGGAAGAGAATTCTAGTCAGCGTTTGAAAATTTTAAAACGCAGATCACAATTGAAGACGAGAATGAACTGGCAGAAGGAGAGGTTTTCCCAAAAACAATTAACGAGAAAATCCTTCGACAATGACAACAAACTTACCTTGAAAAGCTTCTTTGCCTTTAGCAATGTTTTTTTTTACAAGGACAAACGGAGGAAAGATGGAAAAGAGTTCTAGACTGACACATTGTCCGGTTTCCAAAATACTCCAGCGTTACATTAAAGAGCTAAAACTTGCAGTGCTCTTAGTTTTTACCGAATAAACTTTTTCACTGACATGGCGAATTTGTTTTTCACTTTCTCGGAAAGCCTTTGTTATGTGCTATTGTTTTCGTGCGCCAATAAAAACTTTCTTTTTTGACGCCTGTCAAATGACTGTCAAATCGTGCGTCCTGCACTTGTTTCCGGTCCCCCAAACAGGAAGAAGTCATATGATAAACATCTTATTAGCCTCGTTTTTTCGGTCTATACTGTAAATTACGGATCCTCGTTTTTTCCATCAATTTATGGCCCGCGCGCTTCGCGCTTGGGCCATAAATCGATAGAAAAAAACTCGGTCCGTAATTTATAATTACAGTACCGACCGAAAACTCGGCTAATAAGAGGTATATATCATTTAATAATTAATGTATATACTATATTACTTTAAGTATTACTCTATATACGTGACTAATTTTTTCTCGATTAGTTAGTCGAGGGCCAAAAGTTTATCAGGGGCTTTGATTGACTGGTAAAATAAATTCATGACACTTAGTGGCTTTTAGCTGATTCTAAAATCGTGAAAGACTAAAACTTAGGTACTTACGATACTTCCCCTAAACTAATCATAGGTGGTGACATAATTAAACAAGTTAGCTCGGTTAAATCTCTGGGTGTGCATATAGACGAAACCTTTCATGGAATATGCACATTGAAAAAATAGCCAAGAAAATCGCATCGGGCATTGGAGCAATTAAACGTTGTAGGCCTTTTGTTAATCGAACCACGCTGGAGTCCGTTTTCAATGCCTTAGTTCAACCGTACTTTAATTACTGCAGCGAGGTCTGGGGGCATTGTAACAAAAGTCTTTCGAATAAGCTCCAAAATTTACAAAACCGGGCTGCCCGTATTCTAACCTTCTCCAGTTATGACACAAGCGCTGATCCTCTTCTTGAGCAACTCAACTGGAAATGGTTGGATACTCAGCGACAAATACAAGTGGCCACCATGGTCTATAAATCTATACATGGTCTTGCGCCCGACTATCTTGGTTCTCTTTTCACTAAATATAATCCACCTTATAATTTAAGGAACTCTGAAAACAAACTAGCTGTTCCATTGCCCCGCACCAATTTCTTGAAAAATAGCTTTAGCTATAATGGTGCGGTTATCTGGAACAGCTTGTCCCCTGAATTGCAGCAAGCAAAATCACTTAAATCTTTTCGAAATGGTTGTCGCGATTTCTTTGACTGAATCGATAAAACGCACACGGCATCTATGTAAAGCAGAATTTCTTTATTTTCTCTATTTTTACTATTTAAATTTTTAGATCATGTTTATATAGATTAAAGTAGATTGTAATTTTTCTTCTTATTATTATTTTATCTGATAGATTTACCGTGTTTAAATAAAAATAAAGTTCAAGTTCAAGTTCAAGTTCAAAATCGTGAAAGACTGAACTGTACTTTATTGACCGCGTTGTGATCAATTAACCTGGAAATGTGGTAAATAATGGTTTTTCGCCTGCACCTTGTCTGATCACTTGAGTGTACATTCCAGTTGTTTATTTTATCTATTCAGTTATATTTTGTTAACATTTTTTTAACTTTTTACCTTGGCACTGTTTTCCTAGGTATCCATCTGTGCATATGCAAGTGTATTTGTCATGCGCACCGTTATCAGTGCAATTGCCGCCATTTAGACATGGGTTTGCCATACAAGCACCTAAAGTCAAGAAGACGATAATATTTTTCAAGCATTTTACATTAATCAGTAGCCTCTCAGTCTATTTTATTAGCCGGGAAACAATAAATTTACATTTCAGGATTATCGCAAGCGTCAGGTGTTTTACATGACTGGGCAAGCAAAGAATAGTTGACAGAAGTTTTGGACGTTAAGAGGATAAGTAGGCGGTCTTGCTACATGGGAAAAAGGCAAGTGAAAATGATAGATGTATAATACATAATAGACAATTAACACTTCTAGCACATGTGCACTCAAGGACAATTTGTCAAACTACAAACATTCATTACATATGTAGAGGTAATTGATACAAAATTACCGATAAGGGTTCGGCCCGCGCGCTTTGTAAACCTCCTACATAAGTAGGCGTTCTCAGGGAGACTGATTGGACTATTGCGAAGTCTTAATACAAACTAAACGAGGGTAAACTGTCGGTGACTCACGTCCGCAAGGAGCATCCTCATTGCACTTGGCTTTTGAAACAGGTTTATCAAGGTACCGACAAAATACATCCGCTATGACAGTCAAATTCCCAGCTTCATCGACTCGAGAGCAAGAGACACTTCGCTGTATCGTCGCAACTCCGCACTTCAGAGGACACTGCAAAGGAACAACACAAGCAGTGAACACCACGCCAGTCATCATGCCATCATTTTTTCCTGCATATTTTCTTAAAATTGGACCTTTGTTTGTTTGTATGTTTTTTGACGGGGGTCCCTCAAATGTCTACTTATTACTGGCAACCTTCATCATTTTTGTAACAATTGCTCATTACAATTATTCTGCTTTCTATCACAGGATCTGACCCTGTTCAATTCATTTAACACGAGAAATTTAGAATCAGAGAAGCTGCTGCACTGACGATACTTACCTGTTAAATAAATTTAGGAAGATAAAATTTCCATTAAAGCAAGAAGTTTACCTTTGACCAGTTTCCCACAATCCATTGCGGAGGGCAAGGAGCATCCTCATTGCACTTGGCTTTTGAAACAGGTTTATCAAGGTACCGACAAAATACATCCGCTATGACAGTCAAATTCCCAGCTTCATCGACTCGAGAGCAAGAGACACTTCGCTGTATCGTCGCAACTCCGCACTTCAGAGGACACTGCAAAGGAACAACACAAGCAGTGAACACCACGCCAGTCATCATGCCATCATTTTTTCCTGCATATTTTCTTAAAATTGGACCTTTGTTTGTTTGTATGTTTTTTGACGGGGGTCCCTCAAATGTCTACTTATTACTGGCAACCTTCATCATTTTTGTAACAATTGCTCATTACAATTATTCTGCTTTCTATCACAGGATCTGACCCTGTTCAATTCATTTAACACGAGAAATTTAGAATCAGAGAAGCTGCTGCACTGACGATACTTACCTGTTAAATAAATTTAGGAAGATAAAATTTCCATTAAAGCAAGAAGTTTACCTTTGACCAGTTTCCCACAATCCATTGCGGAGGGCATGGGTATTCATTGCAGAACCGAACAAGGACGGGGGGTGGGTTGGGTCTTGGATCTTTACATGTGTCATTTTCTCTGAGTGAAGTTTCGTTAACTCGTTGAAGGCACGTTGTGGTATGCACTTGCTTGCCTTTGCCACAGGTTTTTGAACAAGGTGTCCACTTCATGACCCACCTAAAATATACGAAAATGATCCATGAACGAATATGTAACTAGTATGACGACCGAGTAAGAGTAAAGAATGTAGTTAAGAACATTTTTAAAATTTATCACGTGATATATCCCATGGCTTTGGGAAAAAACTTACTTTGCTGGACAAGGTCGAGTATTGCATGATTCAGTTTCTTCGGGGGGTCCGCCACATGCGGATGCATCAACCGGACTTCGGTCATCTTTAACAACGCACCATCGGGTTCGTGTTCTGATTCCTAAACAAAACTTGGATATGGTAAATGTGGCAATATATAGCTCCATGCATGTTGGCAAGTATTGTTGAGAAGTAAAGAAGAGAAACAGTACTAACGTTAAAAATAAAGACAAAAACAGTTTTGATGAAATAAAAATATTAAAAGATCCAAAACACTACTTTACAAGCTCACGCCATTATTGACTCTCTAAAATTAGCGGACACACGCCTGGCTAGCTTTTAAGCGGCAGTCATCATATGACCAATTTACATTCCGCTATCATCGACTAAAATTTTGATGACATAAATGCAATTTCACGTTTGGGGGACTACTCATCTGAATCAAACCTCGCATTGAATAAAGCTAAAGCAAAGTGGATGCTTGTTTCCACCCGCCAGATGTCTCGAGCTCACGCGTTACTCAATTATTATCCAGCTGTGAGCTGCAATAGGAAGCTACTAGAGCGTGTGACCACAGCTAAGATACAGGGGGTCCACATGGACGAACATCTAACGTGGCTGACCACGTGACTGCACTTCTTTCATCCTGTTATGCAGCATTGGCTGTTCTCCGGAAACTGTGCAACCTCGCACCATACTATGTTCACAAACAGTTAGTGGAGTCATTAGTGATATCTGCCACCGTGAACATGCTCTGCGTGGTAATAGAATCTACGTGCGGTAGCGTTATAAACGTAGAAGCAGCAAACAGCTGTGGAGCTTCAAACCGCAAGTCGGGTACGTCTAGCCCTACTTGAGCGAGTGTCAAAGTAGCGAGCTGACGCAGATCACTAGGGAGGGGCTCCGTTTGACCGAATAGTGTTGGGAGAAGTAAGTCGTCGATCTCCTCTTGGATAGGCTCAGTTGAGAGAGCGCCGGTCTGCTGAGCGGGAGGTCGCGAGTTCGAATCCTGGCCGGACCAACACTCAGGGTCTTAGAAATAACTGAGGAGAAAGTGCTGTCTTTGTAATGACATCTGCAAATGATTAGACTTTCAAGTCTTCTCGGATAAGGACGATAAACCGGAGGTCCCGTCTCACAAACCTTGTTCACATATAACTCTGTCGGACGTTAAAGAACCCACACACTATTCGAAAAGAGTAGGGGACGTAGTTCCCGGTGTTGTGGTCTATCTTCATCACTTACATCATCACTCATCATGGGTTGGGAGGGTTCAGTGGGCTCAGAAATGGACTGATAGCGGCTGCCATCGGCGCCCTTAGTGTGCTGATGTCCGAGCCCACTGCAAAAAAGCTATGTACACTGTGCGCATGAAATAGGTAAACTTGGATTTGTAACCCTTCGAGAAAACGGTATAGGCTTCATGAGGCTGGCTCCTTGCTATCTCAGATAGTGCCTCGAGTTCTCCTTTCCATCTAAGGATTTTTTCCGAAAATATTGATATTTGAACTCTTTTGATTCCGATGACGGCCCCTAAGTGGCGCAGACCTTCAGTTGTAACATTGACCTCATCTCCAAACACCCTCTTTGCCTCATCTGCAAGTACGTCCGACTTGACAATCAGCCAGCTCTTTGATCCATTCACTAGATAACCAAACTTCTTTCCTTCCTGACACAGGTGATTGTACCAGTTACACAACGGCACAATTTGTCCACCCCCCGCAGAGTAGTCGGCTAGCCATACTTGCTTAACACCTGGTGTGCTTGTCCTTAAGCTCTGGATCATGATAGATGTATTGATCGAGTACCAGTGCATGGCCAAGGGATTATTATTATAATTATTATTAATTAGCCTCACTGGTAAAGGTAGGCCAGATATCATTGTGCAGTTGTTATTTACATGTTCCAGGGCCCGGTTGCATAAAACGCCCGTAACAACTACAGGTATACGTACGAGCACTCGTAAGTGGTCCACTTAGGGAATTCACTTAAGTGGTTGCACTTACGATTTTCGTAAGTGTTCACTTAAGTGTCCTTTATGCAACAGAAATTACGGGTGTTGCATAAAACTTTTTTTACGGGAAAAATAGCACGTAAATTTACGAGACCTATGTAGGTCCCGTATCCTTACTGTTTTTACCAAAGTTAACGAGATCTTTGACTGAGAAGTGAACAAAAAAAATGTTTTTTCTTTACGTAATTCCGTTGTAATGCGCTTTATTAACCTCTGATGTACAGTTTAAAGCCGTCGTTAAGAAAAAAGAAGGACAACAAACATTTCCAGTGGATATTGAAGTAAAATAACGATGTCATGTAAACGTTATTTGAATGAGACGCTCAAAGGTGTTCGAAACGACTTGACACTTTCTTTACACTCACCGATGGTTAACTTAATTAAAAAAAATAATGCGAGTCAAATTAATAATTAAAAGTACTATATCAAAGTTACGTATGCCCTTAAGTGAGCCCGTAAGTTACCACGTAAAACAGAAACTTACGAGAGTGCTAAGCGTGTTCCATGCAACACCCGTAAGTGTACCCATAACGGATTCGTAAGTGACGTACTTAAGTGGGCACTTAAGTGCATTTTTTATGCAACCGGGCCCAGAACCGTAAGTCAGTATAACAAGCAATAATTTGTGAATAAGTCAGTATAACAAGTTTCATCAAGAGGTTATTCAGTCCCGGGGTATGTTACTGGACAGGTATCCGTCCGTGAGCTAAATCTAAAGAACAAAAGTACAGGTTTTAGCCGGCTCGAGTAGCCGTGATACAGTATAGCCTGAGCTGCGTCCTAGAAGTAATTTAACCCCGATTAGCAAAGTCTGCGAAGCAGCGGCGATGTCCTTGTTCAGTGTACTCAACAGACTTTATTAATTGCCGGAAATGCGTTTCGAATTTCCCTTCAACCTGATTGGCAAATTGACAATGGCATTTTTAACAGTCCAATCATGGCGTGTACTCAAATCGTGGTACACAGGTACGGACCTAGAACAAGGATTTCGGCGCTGTTTCGTAGACGGACTTAACCAGAGGTTAACTGTCGTCTGTGGCGCAGGCCAGATACAGGATATAGTTAACAAAAGAAGTTGGGTTAATTGAACTGGATAATTACCTGATGCACAAGATTTGGAACAGCCTGACCAATTCTCATTAATCCAATCAAACTCAACAGGCAACCCAGGCTGGGGCATTCCAGGCTGGGGCATTCCAGGCTGAGGCATTCCAACCGCCAGCAGAGAGAGTGTGATAAGGGTGTATTTCACTCCTGGATTAATGGACTGATAGTCATTTCTTATGAACTGAAAAAATAACATGGTTTATTGCTTAAATTTAATTTGAGCATTGAAAATCGCTCAAAAGCTTCTCTGTTCCCTGAAAATGTAACTTAAATATTATTCCGTTATTCTCTCCTTTGGAAAAATAATTCTGCCTGTTATTTCTTCCTTCAGGTTTAAGGTGACTCGACCCAGTTTTTTTTAGGGGGTACCATCCTACTTTGAAGCTCTCTGGTATCCCCACCTTTACTTTTATCGTAAGTATAACACATAGAATGGATAACGTATAGATCAATCTACAATATAACATAAAATTTTTGGCGATTGGAGTAAATGTCACGTGGTTATAATGCCACGCCCCTTTGAGGTCTGAGTCGAAAATCTGCTTTTGCCAGCATTTTTTCGTGAAAATCTCTCGGCTACACATAGTGCGCATTAGTGCCTTGCGCTGAACAGAGTTTCACCAAAATCGCAAAGACCCAATTCGAGAAATTCAGCGGTTTCCAAATTTAGGTCATAATTTATGCGAAAATGATAAGCAAACTTTACACGGATTATATCTAATGAACTACGAGATTCATCTCTGTATTTTGGGTATCCTTATAACAGATAGGTCCTTGCAAGTCAGCAAAACGCTTTAGGGCCTCGTAAATGCGCGCGAATCCGAGCAAAGCAAACATATAGAAATTATAGTTTTCGCTATTTGTTGACGTTTGTCAGCGTTTAAGAGTCAATCTCACGAAAAAAGCATTTTCTTAAAAATTCGTAGTTTTTTTTCCTTCAAATTTTTTCAGGGCCACAATTGATTAACTAACTACCCGGACTCTGAATTTCATGGTCATTGAAAAACTGTGACATTACCTTCTATAAGCCCAAACTTGAGTAAACATTGAAGATTTTTAGCGTTTTGGCTGAGTTTGTGCTTTGGGAGTTGTCTATTGTTTCTAGTCTGTCATTATACAGCATTCTTGTTCAGCACGCGTGCAATGACCACGCTTGGCTGACTTCCGAATGCTCACCGAGATATGATAATTTAGTATAAGAAAATAGAAGGGATTCCCGTCACGAGTTGGTTTAATTATTGGCTTGCATTAAACCTATGAAAAAATGATATTTTTTTAATAGTAAGTAGATTTAGTGTGTAGCACTTCTTGATTTTTTTGCAAAGGCACAAGAAGCACGAGAATTGATTAAAAATTGTGAGTTAAACCTCTATGTATCACGCGATGGCCTGTCTCACTGTACCAAAATTATCATATTCGGAAGTCAGCCAAGCGCGGTCATTGCACACGTGCTGAACAAGAATGCTGTATAATGACAGACTAGAAACAATAGACAACTCCCAAAGCACAAACTCAGCCAAATTAGGACCTAAATTTGGAAACCGCTGAATTTCTCGAATTGGGTCTTTGCGATTTTGGTGAAACTCTGTTCAGCGCAAGGCACTAATGCGCACTATGTGTAGCCGAGAGATTTTCACGAAAAAATGCCGGCAACAGCAGATTTTCGACTCAGACCTCAAAGGGACGTGGCATTATAACCACGTGACATTTACTCCGATCGCCAAAAATTTTATGCTATATTGTAGATTGATCTATATGTTATCCATTCTATGTGTTATGCTTACGGTAAAAGTAAAGGTGGGGATACCAGAGAGCTTCAAAGTAGGATGGTACCCCCCAAAAAAACTGGGTCGAGTCACCTTAAAAGCAGCGGTTTTTTTGTGACGACAGGTGCTAACTTTTACATTAAGCACAAATCATACTAAAGAAACATCAGCTTAAGAGCGAATGTAGCTAATAATGCTAATGCTTGACAAAAGTGGAACTGCTAAAACGAAACCTTCCTTCATACTTTGTGTGTACTTAGTTCTTCAGATGAAACCACTCACTTTGACAGTTGTTTGACTTGTAACAAATACCTGCATTTTCAAATTCTTGTTTCAGTAACTCCTGTATTACTTACCATTACCGTCAAGTTGGCGTTCGTTGATCCCGTTATGTGAACGATGTCCTTGCTCTTGCCTCTGCGTTTGTGGAAGTATCGTATCTTTGCGCCAGAGGCCTCTTTGACTTGATTATCGCCCAAATGCCCGCCAACCAAATATGTTCCAGAAGCATCCTGTACACCTGGAAACAACAACATCGACAACGGTAAGTAACTTTCGAATCCGTAATTATAGGTTATCGAAAAACAGGTTTCCACGGACTTTGCTAAAATTGCTATGGGCACGTGTTCCTTAGAGCCGACGCTGTCGTTGCAGAACGCCGCAGAGAGCCCCACAGGGAAGGATATAAAGCTTTCTCAACTCAAGCTAACAGCTTACTTCTACAGTTCCCGTTTTAAGCGACTTTTAAGCCAACATAAAAAGTTACATATGGCCGCTTACAAGTGCTTGCACCACTCACGTTAGACGTTGTATGTAAAGCAAAAACAGCACCACCCTATTAAATGATCCTTTTATGGTTAAATGTAAACGCACTCAGTACTACATTTTACTGTTGTAATGTTTCCTCTTTTACACTGTCCACTTTAGACCTTGTCCACAAGTTCCTGGAAAGTTTTGACAAGGTTTTTTTTGTTTCCGTATTCATAACAGTACGCATCCACACGCGGTGTATCTCACAAATTGTTTTTACCCATCACACAAAAGCGCTTCAACTTCAACTTCAACTTCAACTTTATTTACTAAAAAAAGTAATTACAATAGGCTGGCCCGTAAAATAGCAATTGCTAACCTAGGCGGCCCAGTTAAAAGAAAAAATAAACTGAATGGAAAGGAAAGGAAGAAAAATATTTTAAGTTACAATAATTCTTATTTCTATCATGGTTTTATTTTAATTACATTACATCTAAGGAAAAACCAAAAAGGAATTGACGGAGAGAAGAAAGCATTTAATTTTATGCAGAAATCACTTAACTGTTAATCCAACTTTTTCAATAATATCAATGGCGTCTCAATAGTCATCTTCTCTTTTTAAGATAACGGAAGGCGATCCGAGAAGAACTTTCGTAAATTCCTTTTTAAAAGGATCGCTAATATGAGAAGGTATATTATTGCAAAGTTTTACGCCAAAACGCGACGAGGAGTTTTTGTGTACTGTATTTCCAGCTTCGTGAATTTAACGTGAAAGTTACCAGCAGTAGATGATCGTGCACTGTATGAGGTTTTTTCAAATAAATTTAAGAAATTTGGTGGGGAATTGTTGTTGTTAACATCGGACGCATTAGACTAGCTACAGTTTTATAATACATAAATGGTAATTTGTCAGCGTCGATAAATAGAGGAATTCGGTACATGTGTTCACGTATATCCGTAAAATGGCACATTATAGTATTGTAAGCGTACAGAGCTTTATGGGGTGTTGTAAAGGTGGTCGTTCGCAGAGCTCCCTACTTGACAGGAAGCCACGTGAATTTGTACCACGTGACCAAGTTTTTCCCTTAATTGTCGTTAACTGCTATTACTTCAACTAAAAATAAGTAGTTTCACGGCAGTTTTATACATAAGAATTGTTCTGGACAGTTTTTATCTACTTATTTTCTATCCTGAGAAATTCTTTACTTGAATCTGACGTTTGCCGTTTGGCGTAAACGGGAAACTTAATCTCTCTATTAGATTGTGGTTAATACAAAAATAAGAATACTTTCTGCAAACTGAAGCTATGTTCTTATCGATACTGATGGTTCGCGGCGAAGCGGCGTCAACGAGGCGCGAGTATTTTGAGAACGGACCTCTGGAGCCAGGGTACAAAATGTGTAGTTTGCAAAAAAAAAAACCTCTAAAATGGTCTCCACAAAAGCGAAGTACATACCACGAGCTACTACCAAATTTCATCTCCCCACTTGACCTGGACAACGGCGCGCGTATATGTAGTGCTTATAGGATTGCGCTGACCTCATCAAAGTATAGACAAAGTGCCGAAACGTTTGTTGATGTGAGTAAACACTTTCAATTTTCTTTGTTTTGAAATGGGAAAGGAACTCACATATTAAAAAAATATCATTGCAAATTTCAGCGAGCGGGTTGCCGGTGTTCAGTTCAGCAGTGAATTAATATATGTTCTACAATTTTCCCAGCAATTTAAGCTACAAAATTAAGAGCACAGGAGACGTAGATTAGTCACCTGGTGAGATGTTGGTGGTAGTAATATCAATGAGTCACAGTCAAGACTGCATTCAATAGGACCGAAATTGAAGTTTAATCTTTTGATTTTGATGAAAGAAACGGTTAGGTTTCCCAAGAAGTACAGTAAACATGTGATGCCGACCAAAAGTTAAAAATTGAGCACTTAAGTCCTGTTTAAAAGCAAATTCCTCTACAAGATGCGTGACAAAGAACTTCTACAATTTTCCGACAAACAAACTTTGTATCGCTAAAATACTTCAACGAACATCTTTCTATTCCAAATGATAACACCGTGGTGGTCGCTTGCTGATCGTTATTAATCCACTCCCCAAATATGGCTAAATCAGCTATCCAAACATTATTGACAGAAATCCTCTGAACGGCATCGAGATACTAATTTACATCCGATTTATAGACAAACAACAAATAAAGAACATTTTGCTCAATATCTACCCATCAGCAATGCATTCTATGCCAAACTTTGCGGTTCTTGAAGGGGAATCAAGACACGAGTCGAGCGCCAAACAACAACAAGCAGCCATGTTCGTGTCAGACATCCTTGAGAAACGTGCTCTTTCACCTCGTTCCGCGCATCAATCTCCACTTTAAATCACCGGATCTTTACTTATTTTGTACAACAAAAGTCTTTCCTAAGTTCCTGCTACCATTTGAATCTCAAGCACGCTTTCAAAGTGAAGAATTTGGTTCCTATGACAATGCACCACGGTCGCTATCACTGGTTGCGTGCTCTTTATCAAGTCTTAGTGCACAAGCTCACGCAAAAAAGATCCCTGTTGCTGACCAAATAAGGACATGACCCCTAAAAGCTTACTAAAGTTAAGTAGAAAACCTGTCAAACCATAAAAAAAAATAGAACATACATCTCATTTTACTCAGGAGATAAACACAGATGTTTTACGGCGTCATCGAAGTTGAAGTAAAGTTTACTGCAAGTCAGTATGAAATTCCACCACAGCAAAAAAAATAAAATAAATAAATATAACAATAATAAGAATAAATATAGAGCTATTCAGCTAAACTAAAAGCTAAAAACATACCGAGATGAAATAATTACAAAGCTTTAAAATATTAATACAAGTACAATAAATTAAAATTAAAAATTTTAAATCTAAAAATATACTTTAAGATAAATTTACAGATAATTAAAATGTAAATACGGGTACTAGAAATAAAAGTTACATGTGATAGCCTTCTTCAAAAAGATAAGTCTGCAAATGTTTTTTTTACAAAATAGCAATTGAGAGAATAGTGAGAGGCAAGTTATTCCATAGCCTTGGTGCAGCAGTGCTGAACGCCCGGTCTCCATAACTCTTAAGTTTAGCAAGTGGTACAGTGAGCAGTTCACGGCCACTGGAACGTAATCACCGAGAGATCTTTCGATGACTTAGGAGACTAGAAATATTAGAAGGTACTTTGCTGTTAAGTGCTTATAGACTAATAACAGTAGCTTAAAAATAATATGGGATTGTACAGGTAGCCAGTGTTGGGGTAATTGAATCATATTTCCTTGTTAACGTGACAAAAAAGGATAATGCGGTCCCTACTTTACTACTTACTTACAGATTTACCGCAGCGTACTTACCAAGATAATGAGTGGTCTCTTCTTTCATTTCAAATTTAGCAAATCGAGTTCCTGGGAGTAGTGTAACAATCGGTGAAGCGTTACCAGGACCTAACGTCAACGAGTTAAAAAAGAGTATCTTCAATTGATGCTGATATTTTCCTCTTTTATTGTTTGCCAGCTAAGGACGAACCAGATTTCCCGAGCGGGTCTTGGAACAACTAATTGCAAATAGATTGCATAATGTATCAAATTAAATCATTCAATATAGCCTAACTTTAAGCTGTGATTTAAACCTGTTGGCATTTTCGTCCAGTTTTAGATGTCAGCTAAACAGCAATGGTTTTTACTAAAGGCAAGGTAAAGGCACACTCGAGCCAAAGGCCTAAACGGACAGAACTATGCCTAGGAATATTGCTACTCCCCCCTGGACGGGATGCTATTTCATCGCAGGGTTACCCCCCAGCAGTATGTCGCCGGTACCCATTTATACACCTAGGTAAAGAAAGACAAAGTGGAGTAAAGTTCTTACCTAATGAAACCCGGACCTCCAGATTCGGAGTTTCAGGCGTTAACCGCTCGGTAACACACACTTTCACATAGACAAATGAAAGCTTATGATCAACATAGTCAGGCATTTGTACTAACACCTTCCCATTCCTCCCTAGATCCTCCCCCATGGAGGGAGTATCGATAGCAGTGCCTTTCACAATCTTTTATAATGCTACAAATTCAGGAGTTTAATGCTGCTTTGTTTACTTTTAAATGTTGTAAAGTAAATGTAGTAAAGAAGTTAAGCAGGTTATTTAGCTATTTTTTTCCTTTCTTTGACCAGAAATCCGGAGAGCTTGAAAGACACAGTTTGGAAGCCGAACTAATTTTCAAACAGAAGACGATTACTCTGTGACCAACTTTTTATACTGTCTCTTGAAATATCATACCGCAAGTCATACAACGACTGAATTATATGCTTACCACTTGTTGCCGGGATATCGGTGTATTCCTTGGATACCTTTGTGCAGTTACTCGCATTACCTCCACATACACCGCAACGATCAAAACGTCTTTTACTGTCCACTCGGTTATCACAACCAACAATCTGCAGATGGTCGAAGTTCGGTTAAGCGCATGAGTACGCATAGTATAACATATGCCGAAGACTTTGCCCTTCTTCAGTTCTTTTCAGCTTGTTTTTAATTTCCCCTTGACTCATCGATAAATGCTCAGTTACGCTGGATGCATTTTAATTACAACGGAAGGAAACGTTGCTCCTCTAAATTAAGAAGAACTTTAAAACTAAAATGATAATTGAATATTTTTTCGTTCTTGAGGAAAGCCACTTAATACATCAGGTGACAAATCCAATCCGAAACTGTAAAAGCAGGTTAAAAATGCAGAGTTCTCTATTTCCTTTGGTACTTAATAATAATAATAATAATAATAATAATTAAAACTGCTTATTAATTACCATTGCATTAAAAAAACGGGGATAAAATACAAGCTTAAAAAAACTTACACAATTTAAAAACGCCTGCCCTGCTACTGATATTCATTTATTTCCTGTGATTTGTTGATTCTTAGCAGAATTTTAAATTTACGTTACCTGGTTTTCTTGGTACGTTTTGCCTCGCAGAAAATTGCTATTATATTATCAATAATTCTAAATAATGTACAACTTGATTTTAAACTGTATCTATGAATTGAAACTCCGTTCACAGCGACATCATTCGTAAAAAATTGCAAGTGAAGATAATCGAAATTAATCGAAACGTGGGTTGTGGTGAAGCAAAACTTGCTGTTCATTTGCTATGTTTCTTTAGTGTTAATTATTGTTTTGCTAAAATTCGATGTAAAGCTAAGACTGTGGAAAACCCAATAATATTGCATATAAATGGCGATTGATGGGAAAAAATATGATGAACTCACTCTGCAAGATCCTTGTACACAGATAGCGGAATACGTCTCAGTTTGTCGACAAATGGTTCCATCTGGCATTTGACCAACCGGCCTAGCAAGACAACAACCCTTTCGGCACCACATTTGGCAAGCTAAAAAAGAAGACAATGCAAACTGGAGTGAGTATCTGGTCTTTCTGTTTATAACGGAGATATAATTTTCGGCGCGTGAAACTTACAAAGACATGCAATGGAGGAATCAATTAATCAATCTTTATTTATTTAAAAACTCATTCAGGAATACAAAAAAGTGTGAATCTGTTTACAAGTATACTAGTTACAAGTTAGTTACAAGTCAAAATCTTAATAGTTATTACGTTAGTACATTATTATACATCAAAGTTTAAGCTTAAAGCCTGGAACATGAAAGCTTGTTATTTTAAAATACCCACTACAGATTGTGAATGTTTCAAACTTTAATTTGAAAAATATTAAGGGAGACAAAACGGTTTGTAAACAAACTTGACTGTTCGATACAAATGTAGGTTAGAAATTGACTATTTATGTTAAACATTATACGCACTTACGGCTACGCAGGTAGTAAATGTTAAAACCATCTGTTCGTTTGCTACAAGCATTCTGCCTAAAATTGCTGGCTGTAACAGTATCATTAAGTGAACATACCTACAAATCATTAAAAAAATATCTTTTCAATTTTCAGACTGCAACAAATACAACAAACAACAACAACAACAAATTTTATTGAAAATTGGAAAATAACTAATTACATTACCTTCCCACCCGCCAATTTGCTTAAAAACTAATCGAGGCGGGGGGAGCTGAAGACATATTACAAAACAAGATTTATATATAGATGGACTAAATAACAGTGAAGACACTACTATACAGTAAATAGAATTTAAACTAACATAAAACAAGGCAAGTACATAACGATTACGAAGAGAGGCTAACCTAAAGTATTAAATAACTTAAGGGTTTGTTAACGAACTAGCCGCTTTAATCATGAAATATTGCGTCAAAAACTGCAACTCTATGGTATTCGGGATACTGCTTTGACGTGGATCAAAACCTATCTTGAGGTTCAGACTCAATTTGTCCAGTTTGGGTCCCATCGGTCCTATCCGCGGAAAATTTTATGTGGCGTCCCGCAGGGCTCAATTCTTGGACCTCTAGTGTTTATTATTTACATTAATGATCTTCCTAATGTCTCTAGTCTCACTCAATCTTTACTGTTTGCTCTGGAAAATACTGTGATCAAGCAAGTCATGGAGACAAAATTTTTAGGTGTTCTCATTGATCAGCATCTCTCTTGGAAACCACATATTGATTTCGTCTCAATAAAAAATTTCGAAAAGTGTGGGAATTATTGCGAAAGCCCGCTTTTACCTATCATACCAAACTTTGTTGACCTTGTATTACTCCCTTGTATATCCTTTCTTAACATACTGTAATGTCGCCTGGTCCTCCACCTACTGTTCCAACCCAAACTGTATTTACCTTTTGCAAAAGCGTCTCATAGCTAAAGCTCACTATCTGGCAAATACCGCCCCTTTATTTAGCCAGCTTAAAGTCCTTGACATATTTAGTATTAATTCATTTTCTGTCGCTACTTTTATGTATTCTTGTCACCATAATCTTTTGCCTAGTAGCTTTCATGACTTGTTCTTAAGTAGTAATTAAGTCCATCAATACGAAACTCGACTAGCCTCTCAGTATAGACCTCACTTTTGTAGAACAAATATAAAGCAATTCAGTATCCTTTACAGAGGACCTAAAATCTGGATTTCGTTACTTATTTCACTATATTAGCTCTCCTTCTATATCTCACTGATAGCCGATCTGTCGTTTAATTTTCTGATTTTGCTCACTCTGCACTCAGCCATGAATTTAGTTCATTAGGTAGTTGAAGGAAGCCTATTAATATAAGCTTCAAGCTTCGTTAGGCTTCCTTGTCGCATTAATTTTGTAATTTAATTAACAACTTTTGTTCATGTTGTATAAGGTTTTGTGAGTGACTAAATAAATAAAAAAGAAATAAATAAATCTCGCTCCCCTTATACCTCAATCCTTTCTCCCGGCGCTTCACCCTAGATGTGAAATACAAATTATCTACGACTGGACTAATTACCTACTAAGTAGGGTTTGTATTTCATGCAAAACAACTGAATACTCTTGGGAATTCTCTTGCTAAAACACTGGACAGAGGGGCGAATGATGGTGTGCGTAATTCGTGCTAGAATACATAATCATAAATATCTGCTACTTGGGCAACTAAAAAAACAAAACACAACCCAGTGCAGTAGCAGTAGTCGTAGTAGTGAGCAGGTATCATCGTAATAACCTTTATTTGACAGGTTCTGTATTCCTTATTTGGTCCTTCACAGCTGGCCTCAGCCACCGGTCTGCAACAACAACAACAACAACTTTTAATTAAATCTTTCAATTATAGAAGACAATGCTTTCTCCCCGTAATTAGCTCCTCAGCTCGTCAAAACGGGTGCAAGAGAAGATCAAAATGTTACAAAAATGCAGTTAATAAAAGAATAGAAAACTGGATGCAAAACACACACACTCAACCGATAGCTAATTGTAAGTCCGGTACCATGCAGTAGTTTTAGTTTTTTTGTTCCTCGCTGGTACCTTTTTTAGCGTTGTGCTCAAATCGGCACATATTCTGCACCTAGGAGTAGCATTAGGGGTAGTTCCTATTTTTAGTGTCCATTAAGAACCCAGTGAGACAGAGATCGTATATTTAAGTTGAAAATGTTTAATCACACAACTTATATGAAACAAATTATGTAGCTGAAAGCGTGAAAGTGAGTACCGGAATAAACACATATTAAATTGGAACAGTGCAATATTCCGTGCTCCACTTTAAATAAAGATTTCATTTGTTGTTATTACCCCACAAAATTCTTGTTTGAAAAAGAAGATACAACGTACCAACTTTTGTTTCAGCGCTGTTTGTGATGATTGTATTTTGAGATGTTGAATAAAAAAGATTTGTAAAGTTAAAAAAGGTAAAGAATAAATAGTCTTACTTGATGCACTGTCTGCTTCTATGCTGAACCTGTTGAAATCCATTCCCGCACTCACCACTACAAACAGAATAGCTTCCCCAGTTGGACCATTTACCAGGTCCCTTCGGGGGCATAGTTGGAAAACCTATTCCACGGTCGCTACATCTTCCTTTTATACACCACTGCCAAAAGATATTTCCGAAAGAAAGAATGGGAATGCCATTTAATTTGATTTATTCTGTGGTTACTCAAAAAAGTAAATAATGCGAGTGCTAAGACATGTAAGAACTATTTATTTACTTTTTAAAAAGGGCCGTAAGTAATTCAACGTAAATAATTTTTTAAAAAACAATAAGCCATTTGCACGATGACGTTTTTTTAACTACTACGACCAGAATCCTTCAGGGTTTTGATTTCTTGTGCAAATAATAAAATGATAATAATAATAAATAAAGATTTAGAGGCAGTACATCTACTTTTGTTACTTAAACCTCGCTGGGATTACCAAAATTAAATATAAAGGAAAAACGAAAGGGCTTCTAGTTACATCAAGTAAAATGATGTCATTGTGCCAGTGGCTTAGTATGGTGCTTAACGTTTGAGTGTGGAAATAAAACTGAATAACGTACGAAAATTGGTTACAGAATGCAAATGAAAACAATTTAAAACATGGGTCGGCCTACCTCGTTAGGTCCACATTTCGTCCCATCAGCGACCACGACAAATTTGGTCAGTAAAGTATAATCTTTGATGCATTTTAAATGCGCGCACTGATGCTGTAACATAAATAAAAGAACATAAAAATAACATACTTGCCATCTGTGGAGACAGAGATAATATTACATGATTAACAAGTCTTACAAAATAAGGCTGCCAAAGTTATCCTTGATTTGCCCAACTATGCTTCATCTACCGACGCTCTCAAAACACTCGGATGGCCTACTTAATCTCAAGAGCCCCATTTAAATAGATACATTACCACTTTTAAGTACATCCACGGACTTGCGCATCACAATTTTAATATTTTGAGATTCCTCTCGTTTAAAGGAAATATGGAAAGCAGAGATATTTTTATCAATGCCCTAAGGAATGGAACTTTTTAGACGCATATTTTTAAAAAAATTAACTCTCTTCTTCTTATTAACTGGAGCATAAAAAAACGCTGTATATTTTAAGATATTTTATAGCTTTTAATATTTTAATCTATCTAACATTTTAACATTTTTAACCTGTAGCTTATATTAGTTAACTTTTTAGTTCTTAACGTTTTACTTATTGTTACTAATACATACTCATTTATCTAAGATCATTTATTTTTCTATTGTTTTACAGCGCCTCACTGAATATCACTCTTTGTGAAGTGAGCTCCCTGTATAAAGATTGTTATTATTATTATTATTATTATTATGTTTGTGTAATATTTCTTCCAACGAGGACAGCCGCATCAAAACCGAGTAAAATTCGTCAAACAACGCTCACCCTAGTCAAAATTAAATTACATTGAACTGTTGTGCTGATTTCCAAAAAGTTTGGGGAGTTGGGATTATTCAAAGGGAGCAGGAAAGAAGATGTGGCAAGAGAAGAGATTTTCTTCTACTCTCTCCTCCCTGTGATCTCAGCTAGGAAGGTGGTGATTGTCAGCTTGGGAGGTGGTGATTGTCAACTAGGGAGGCAGTGATCGTCAACTAGGGAGGCAGTGATCGTCAGCTAGGGAGGCGGTGTTCGTCAGCTAGGGTGACTGTGATCGTCAGGTAGGGAGACTGTGATCGTCAGCTAGGGGGCAGTGATTATCGGCTAGGGAGGAAGTGATCGTCAGCTATGGAGGCAACTTCAACCGCATTTAGCCTATTAATAACGCCCTCTTCTTTCCCTCGATTCCATTTACCACAACCTCGTTCACAGGCCTTCCTTTCGTCCACTGCAGAAACTAGGGCTTAATTATGCGAAACTTTATATACAGCTGCCTTAATTGATATTACAAATTGATTTATTTTAAGTCTATGATGAGTGTACCGTTGTCAAATTGATCTAATACAGATTGATACAGCGAAATATTTCAAGACAGAATTCATGAGAACATGAGTTTCTGCATGATTGAAGACATGAAGAATCAAACTAGTCAGTTGTACCGTTTCAAATCTTTTCCAGCCTTTCCCATAATGTGCTTCACACTGTCTATTACCATCAACTATTTGACCAGGAAGTTTATCGCGAAACTCAAGAGGAAGGGAGGGACCATCCACAGTGGGTCCATCATCGAGACAATGTGACCTTTTGCTGAGGAAATAATATGTAGTTTTAGTATGAATCAAAGGTAAAAAACAGAGTCGGGTAACTTGGCTGACTGATAGAGAGAAAATTGAGCAAACTCTATAACGGATTGATAAGGGGATGAGTTGATTGGAGAGTGGCTAGGTTGAGAGATGGGCACGTGATTAAAAACTGGCTGGGTGGGTGTTGTAACTGGGTGCGCGGATGGATGTATAGAAGATGGACGTGCTCTACCATACTGACACATATATTGATGTCTATTGAGGTATCAATGAAATATTGAAGTAAACGAGACAAGTTATAGTTGCTAAACATGCCTGTTAGAGAGGAATGGTTGAATAACCTTCCTAGAGCATTCGGACCACTCTGATGCGTGTTCTCCTCCAGGAATAGTACCGCTCATTATGCGTCCTCCACAGTAACCACCATCATGACCAAGCCCCAAGCTGATTTAAAAAACATGTCATTATTAACAATAATTTATCAAAGGTAGAGGTGCTCAGTCTAGCAAATGGAAGTTTGAGTGGCTCTATATACACGACTCCACGAAAATATAACATGAAATATATAAAAGGTGGTTAATTACACAAAACATAAAATAATGATAGTGAATTTTATATAATTAACATTTGAATCTCACGGCAGTTCTTTGTTACCCTGACCTACACAGCCTACGAGTCAATGGGTAAATAATCAGTAAGTGCGTGGACACCAGAAATTTCATAATTTAACCGCTTTTAACTTTAGGTTACGGTTATCTGGTATATAAAAAATGGATCTTATATAGACACGAAGTGACGCTAGATCACAGTTTCAGTAGGTTGAACTGTCGGTAACTGACCATAATAATAATAATAATAAACTTTATTTATATCCTGGGAATATTATTTATATCATGGGAAAGTCCAGGGGCGCGGCTGCTAAGGCCCCATTTATATGGAGAAGGTAGGGGAAGAAGTGGGTCACTCGCCTGCCCTAGCTACCCAGGGTGAACCAACTTTTATCTTTTTTTAACTAATATAAAAGCTCGCGTAAACTAACTCTGTTGGGAGGGTGACCCTTCTACTAGAGGAAAGATTTCTCCATAGCAACGGGGCCTAAATAACACAGATCATTCCTTCTTCGCTCAACAGACTTCCATACAATCCAATAGATAGATAGATAAATAGATAGTTTATTAATAATCACATTGTAACTGGAAGTTGAATTAGGTGATTATTTGCAAATGAATATAATTGCTTAAAAAATATAACTTTATAGAAATATACAAGAACCTACTACTAGAAAGTCTAGAAAACGCTATATGAATGCAAAAATAATATTGTGATTTGTTAAAAAAATAGAAATATAGAAATGTAATAAAAAGTAATTCGAAAAATTGTAAAACTATACTAAGTAAACTATTTAAGCCCTGAGGGCATTGAAGGTAATAAAGCTACTCCGACATCTGACAATACATCTTCTTACCCTCAAGAATCTTTAACCAATTAAGGTGGCTGAACACAGTTTTGGCAGTTTGTGAGTGTATGTCATTTGCCAAATCATGGCAAGAGAAAGGTTGCAGCTCACAAGCTGAAACTTGGCAGGTGAAAAATATACTAATAAAAGATTGTGATTGACAGGTAAAATTTGACGTTTTCGTAGTTTCCATGGCAACATGAACGATTGAATACAACCTTAAAATTTCACTTTTGTTCAGTTTACATAAAATTCGCTCATTAGATTTTCCTATAAACTTGTAGACAGCTTACTGTAACTAATCATTACCATTTGAAACTTATTTGATCAAATTTTAACAGACGGACTTTTAGATAATCAATAATATAATTGTACTGTAATAATTAAATTTGTCACGAAATTCGTCTGTTCAACTTCCATTTTAAAGTTTTCATTATCTAAAATACGATAAAAGTAAAAATTCTGCCAAATATCACAAAATTTTAATGAGTAGATTTTGAGAAATCGTCTTCTGTGTATCATTGCTTTTTCGCCGTCATGTTTGTTTGTCTAATTAAAAACACGCGCGGTCACGCGAGTTACCGCTGACCGCCCGCAAAACTGTGTTCAGCCGATTGCATGCTCTAGCCTAGATCGCGTGAGAGATGGATACCTCTCCAAGTGATGGGTCTCAAATGGGCAGATTTACTTACTTGTGTCCTGTTTCATGGGCAATGTGGAGTGCCGTTTGAAGACCCTTGTCATGATTTAGATTTCCAGTAGGCCCTGTACAGATCCGATTATAAATGGCGCGACCTAAATGGAATTAAATGGTCGGCAAAAACTGATCGCTTTCACAAGGTTCGGCTGCCAGCTCGTATACAAAAACGTGTTGCGACTCTTTCCACTAAGACAGGTTTCTTCCGAGCGTATAAACGTCTATTATGGCAACCGTACCCGCATTTCCCAACCTCAATACTTATTGGAGAGTCGCGTTGCTGACTCTTACAATCTTTTGTCCACGTTAGTCATACTTGATATTGACAAGAAGCAAAAAAAATGAAAAAGCAGGCATGACTGTTTGTATGTACATCTAAAAGAGAATGTATCAAACATGCTGACCAGATCAAAAACTATAGTGTTGTATTGTAAAAACTGTCTTCCAAGAAATGAGAGCAAGTTTTCTGACAGTATTTTCATAAAATACCAATCATCATTGTCCTTTATTGACAATATGCCCCTCAATGAGATGAAAGTCTCAACAGCTTTGTTTTATTTCCAAAGAAAATATTTTGCCTTAACGTTAACTGAAACTAGCGGTAATTCAAGGGCATAGAGAATATAACATCACGAGAGAGTTTCGGCGACCCTCAGAAAACTAAAAAAATTACTACGACTTACCTATACCCTCAATATGACTGAAAGTAAAGAAACGTTTAAATGTAATTAGATATAAATGTTAATAATCCAATACAAATAAACTTGCATAAATCAACAAACCGTCAGAATTCTTACTTTGACACGTAACTAAAGACATCGTAGGGTACTCTGGATGCTTTATTGTCTTCTTTAATTTTGGCCGCTAAACTCATCAGCTTCGGTATCGAAGAATCACTCAATTTGAACTTATACTGCAATAAAGATTTTAAAATAATGGAGGTCGTTTAACAGTGTTCATTGGTAACGGTATCTGGAGACAGTTCTTCTGAAAATTGAAAAATTCAACAGCACCAGAATCTACCAAGTGTGGCGTTAATTTCGTCATCACCAAATTAACTTGAAATCACAAGTTGCAGTTTTGATATCTTGTTACATTCAAACCCTTTGAATGAAACTACATGATAGTCAGTCTTATGTCCCACAAACTCTTCATTATTGTCCAAAGTTACTGACTTTTAAGTAAATTCCTCAAAATTTATTATAAATGGTTTACGTTTCAAAATGTATACATTGCTCAATATTAATAAATTTGTCAATTAAAAAGTGCTAAAATTTAAGAGGAAACTTAGGTAAAAGTTAAGGTATCACCCAAATCACATGCAATGTCGAGATATATTACACAGTACCGAAGTGACTCTAATATCTTGACTGACCGATGACTACACCTCCTCTGCCAGCTCAATTATATTCTTAGTACCTGCGCGGGATCTATCTCGGTAACGTTGGTGATCACATAGGTAATTTTTATCTCTCCAATCGAGGGGTCTTGAAACATGCCAGCCACCTAAAAACAATCATTGTTTTTACTGCAGTCATACTGTAAAAAGTTTATTCTTAACAAAATAATAATCGAATACAGTTAAACCCGCAGGTAAGAAACTGCATTTTTCCAACTTACCATAAAAGGCGTCTCACATAAATATATACGGTAATAAGCACAAATTTAGGGTATTAGGTTCTTAAATAAGTTCTTATTTTGTGAAGAAAAAAATCTCTTTTAGCTAAGAGTACTTAGAGGTATTCAGCTTATTTCTTAAATAAAATCTGCATAATTATCAAATTTTTTAATTTGCAAAAATGACCAGAAGAAGAAGAACTGAAGCACTGACCGTAACCGTAACCGTAAACTTGGGAGGAAACTTGTACCACGTGACTTCGTTCGCTGTGAACCGCATCACTCGGTGACGTAAGTGAATGAGACCGGAAACGCAAAAGCAACAGACCGCTGCTGATTCGAGAATCAAAGATCTCAGAGATCTATGCGAAGTTTTAATTGAAGAGACGATTTTTCAAGATTGAACATTTGTTGTACATGTCAAAAGTCTTCGATGTCTTAAGCAGGTTTCGCTTGTGCAAAGGCTTCCCAGTAGTCGCAAAAGCACAGCCGAGGACGCAAGAGGTAACACTGTTGGGACCACCGAAGAATGGCGCAGTCGCGATGATATTACAGTTGCCTTGTACGTCCGTTCTACTCAGTGTCTAGTTTTATTGGAAGAGTACACACGACCTGTAAATCACTATCCGTAATAATTTAACATTCTCCAAACAAAATTAACGAGCTGGGCCCAGTGTGATACAGCATTGCAGAAAAACATTACTTCACGGACTAAAGAAAATCGCTTAGTTATTCAGATCCAGAAGGCACTTTGGAGAAAATTGGAACTCTTCTTCAGCAGTAGTAAAAAGCTTCACGCTTCAAAACAGGTCAAGGAAAATGCGCTTGCATCAGAGGGAAAATCCTGCCGACCAGAAACAATAACCACAGTAAATCGATATGTGAGTCATGACCTCCCAGTGTGAAACATGCGGCTAAAATCACATTTGCTCAGTGAAAATGTAGAACCCTCCAGAGCATAATCTACCAAGCAGAGGAAAAAAACTTTATTGTAACGACAGCATTTTGGCATGAGGTAAAAGTCGTGTAGGTTTACCATCCCCTTTTACTGCTCCGATCTTGAGCACATTTACTTTACTACGTCATTTCCATCATCATCTGTTGTGGTGCACAGCGAACGAAAGTGCTATCTCGAAGCCGTAAATTTCGGTCGCCGAAAATGAATTTGAACGCTTTTTTATGCCGTTTTCCGACAGTATTTGGCAAATAGGTAAGAATTCTCGATCAGGTTAGTAAAATCAGGCCATTTCATTCAATACCATTTGAGTCTGAGGGATTCGAAAATCGGCCCCAAATTTGTTTCCTCCCTTGTCCATTTTTTTACTCGGCACTTCGTACCTCGTTCGCCCTTCGGGCGACGTGCCGTGCGCCAGCGAGGATATGGCTTGCGGTTATTGATTTTCAAAATGGCGAAAGTCGATCTGGGTCAGATAAGAAGCGAAGAAATCGTTTACAGTAGATTCATAAAGATCCCATTGGGGTAAGACAACTACTTTCCTTTTCTTTCCTGAACTTTGATACAGTCCTTTAGAATTCAATTCAAAAACATTTGCCAACACTTGACGAATTAAGCAAGAGCGAAAGGAAGTAATTCATTTATTCACACGAAACTCCTGTGGACCCTGTGTCCGGTATCCAGGGGACTGATAAAAAAAAAAATGCTCTAACTTGTTTTCTCTTTCAAGAAAATTTAAAACACTCCCATTTAATGGACTTTGAATTTAGTTTTATTATTTTCATTATTGTATTGTAAACAACAAACGATCAGTTGATTGATTTTGCAAAAAGCTACTAAAGGGGAAAGGAAAACAATACATACCATATTAGCAACAACCAAAAGGTAGTTTTCAACACTTCCCAGCGTATTGTTTAAGGACCCGTCAGAGTATTTCAGTCTTAGAGGTTTAGGGTACAGTAACGCTGCTTTCAAAGTCTTGAATACCGGAGTACTTGCTGTCACAGACGGAGAGTCTTTAGTTTCCATGGATCTCTTTGAACGAATATCCGCTTCATCTGTGAAATAAGCAATAAGACTGTTGGCTGTTTTAGCTACGATTAAACTGCACCCATCCATTATATGATAAATGAATAGCAGTAATTTTATCTCTCGATTATCGCAAGTCATTAGCTAAGATAATGGACCTAAAGGTAGATGAAACTGCTAAAGCATTGTGACACAATTCTACGGTTAATAACCTATCTTCATTGCAAGGGCTTTTATCGACGAAACAACTCGTTTCGTTCCTATCTAAATATTTGCAATAAACTTATGCTGTCATTTGGAGTCACTGTGTTTTGTACCGAAAATGCGAACACAAACTAACATTAGCTGAAAAAATAAAACATTTGAACAAAAGGAGAGAAGACAAAAATAAAAATAATTTCTTAAATTTACCTGTTTTACACGAGGCAACGCTGTCTTCAAAGAAAGATCTTCGATACACAAGATGGGGCGTGGCATCTCTACTGCTCGTCACGTGTTTAGCCAAATGTGCAGGAAGGGGATGCAGAAGAAATGTATCGCGTGACGTTTTCACTAATCCAGTCTGACAATTTAAAAGTTTGTTGAAATTTAACTGATATTTTTCTAACAGTTACTTTTAATGTCTTGGCACTGACTCCACCGGTCGTCTTTTATGATCCATACACGGCTGCGACATTCGTAGTTAACGAACACTAGCAGAACCGCAGCAACTCCTCCTCACGTCGTAAAATATTTTGCGCTCCAGTGATTAATAACAAAGACAAATAAAAGACGACTGGTTAAGAGTCAGACCTCTTAAGAGATGAAGAGGTTTTACTCACCAGACCTCCATCGTTGCTAAGTGCGACTGTAGAGCCTGGATCTGTAACAACATGTCCCAGATAAAAAGTGTTTGGCGGTGCTGGATGCGAAGTTGTTGTGCCGTCACCGTTTTGTCTCACTAGCTTCAGATCTGGAGCCAACAAATGTTCGTTTCGTCTTAATCTCAAATGAAGTTTTTTGCCAAATGTATCCAACTTATAATAGGAATTCTCGGCATAATGATCAGCGTCTCGTTTACTCCTGACCGGGCTCGGATGTAGGGAATAAGACACGAAGTCTCCCTGATTATTGGACAGGTAAGGACTGGCGACATCATATTCAGGAACTTGTACGAAAAGGGAAAAAAGGGAAAAAAAGCAATTGTTTAAAGAAAAGAAAAATTGAGTAAACTGTAGTCTTTTCTTCCAAGCTAATACTGCACGTGAAACTTAAAGGTGAAGGTCTGAGTTGTACATTTAGTCTTCGTTTAATTTTTATCTCGTCATGTGATGGTAACTTTTGCCTATAGTTAGTTCCTTTTCTGCAGTAACCTGTTATTTTTTCTTTTTAGTCCCCCTTTTTTTCCACTTGCTGGTTTTTAGGGTTTTCGTATCTGGCTTTGGTGCATTTAGTTTTGGCAGTTTACATATGTATACATGTTTAACCAAGAAAGGATGGTTTAACTGAAGGAAATGGCACGATTACTTGGATGGCCCTGAACACGCTCAGATATCCGTGAGGTGATTGTACGCCAGTTAAGTGGTGAAAGTGAGTGATGACACTTTTGTGTCGAAATCTAGGAGAGGTAAATATCTCCTCGTGATCACTGCGTGATAAGTAGAATAACCGAACTTGTTATTTCATAAAAAATATTTAAAAAAACCTCGGTAAGTCAGCTAATCGTACTTCATGATTGTTGCTTTTTGGCTCGCCAAAAAAATGTGATTATTAAAGTGCTTAAAACAAACTAGTTCTCTTCAACCGACCATCATAATCACCTTTGTTATGATCCTCTACACCGAAAAAATGTTCAATCTCATCTTTGGTCATATGGTGATGGAGATTCTATTGATAAACCAAAAACATAGAATGAGTATTTAAACACTTTATTGTTAATTATCTATGTTTGCATGAACGTACAGCAGTTTTCAGAAGAAAAAACATTGTCTATCAAACTCGCATGCAAAAATCACAAACTAAAACTTAAAGCTACATGAGAAAAAGAGGAAACAATTTAACTAAACACTTTACACGTAGTACCATTTGTCTGTACTTTATTTTCATTAAACATTTCACAAAATCGTAGGTGTAGTTGTCGGATCTGCTTCCGGTTATTTGTCATTTCAAACATCTTTGACGCTTATTTGTGGAACCGTTTAACAAGACCTAATAACTCATGAACGTTTATTGCTATTCATAAATTTGATAAAAAGTGAAGTCACCTTAGGTGGAACTCCCATTACACCAACGTCTGTTTACAAAAGAGAAAACGGAAACGATCAATTTTTGGGAAAACATTTAACATTTGCTGCATAACAATAGCAAATGTAAAGACATGAACAATGGAAAATTATGCATAATAAAGTAATTATGATCGGAACGGAATCGAAGACAGAATTACGTTAACTTTAACTTGGAAAAGATCGGCCAGCAGCCCCACATTGGGTGACTATTCACTCGGAAAACACTGGGAACTGATCTGCACAGGCTTCCATGTTTTACGAAAGTTTTTAATGATATTAATTCATTGCTTAAATAATACTTGCAGGAGTAGTTAAAAGTGGTGAAAAAGACATTATTGTCCAAATAATAAAAACTTTATGCTGTGCGGCTCGGTTAATATTTAAACCCAAGCAAGCTACTAGCTTTGGTCACACTACAGAATGTACCTAGGTACAACCAATTAACCTAGGGCAAATTCATCAAAAATCTAATGAGGTAAATTCATCTCGGGTTTTGTTTTACCTAGGAAGGTCACACTACCGATATCGGCTGCCAAGGTTTTCACTCAAAATTTTTTGGCGCATAAATTCAAGACAGCAAGATGCTCAGGGATCTAGCCAATCAAAGAGACGTTTTTTCTTTTTATCTCGCTGTTATTTATTACGCTAATTCAAAGTGCAAGGTGCAAAAAGACGAAGACGTAGACGACTCGCGCCCCCAAAATTTCTTTCACAGCGTGAGCTATGTCCGGTTCTGTCATCAAGACTTTCGCCGATGAGCGTCTATTGGCTAGCAACCTCGGTATTTCATTTTTCCTTAGCTATCGCTTTGGGTTTAATAGCTGCCAATAATAATAATAATAGTTTAAGCATATTTATACAGGATTGCTGCATAAGTTTTAAGAAAAAACTGCTATCAAAGCAGGTCCTGTAAAAAAAGGAGAGAGATTAAAGATATGGATATAACTTAACAAATAACAATAGAATAAAATAATTGCATTAAAAGGAAGATTCGAACAGTAATAAATTCTAAGAATTCTTAAAAATTTTTGCATCTTTGAAGAAAAAAATCTGGTTCGGTGCATTCTAAGTTAACTTTTTCTAAACGTTTTGTGGCGGGGAATGTCAAGGGAAACTGTATTGTTCTCGAGATCCAAGACCCAAACGATAAAATACCCCGAGGTAAGTTACCTAGGAAAAAATCGGTCAGAAGAACTGGACATTTTATTTTATCAAAATCTTGTAATAAGGCCATAAGCTATCTTTTCGTAAAATTGCCGTTTTAGGTATAGAGTATCCCTTTAAAAAAATCAAGATTCCCAGGTAAAAAGTCTGTAGAGTGACCACAGCTATTATATGGGTATTTCTGTGGTGGTTGCATCATATTGAACATTCCAGGAACCCTCTAGGCGATGTACCTAGCCATCGTGATTTTGGACGTACTCTACATAACCGATTGACAGAAGAAAGTAATCGTCGCCTTCTTTTCTTTTAAGTACACACTCTCACCCACCCTAGTCCTAGCCGTATTTACCTTTGACTAGTATGTGCGAATTTTTGCCCTCACCTTTGCTGGGTAGGGGGTAGGGATTCGTTTCATTGGTCTGTAATTGATATTGATTCAAAACGATTATTTAAGTCAAAGTTTATCCAAAACGAAATTTGCGTCGGTTGATTTATTTGTTGAAAACCATTCTCAGCAAAAAGAGCAAGCCCCAGACGATCATAGTGTTTCTTGTTGGGGTATATTTTTTGGAGGGGGAAAGGATAAAATCCGTTTTAATTACATTGCAATTCAAAATTCTACATTAAGTTTCGAAAAATGAAAAAAATTATACTTCTCTGAAGAATATAAAACAAAGTGGCAATGGTCCATAGCCAGAGAACAGCCATACTGAAAAATACCTGAAAAAGAATACAGTGAATATCTTACTGTGGCAGGCACGTAGCTACATGTACGCACGGTGCGCACGTGCATACGAGGGTCAAAAAAAATAATAAAATAATGAGATTTAAAGAAAACAATAGAATGAAGGATAAGACAGATTAAAGTTAATTATCTTAAAAGCATAGTTCGGCGCAATTCATTTAACAACGGACTGTTAGTTTTTTCCTTTTACACCCGAATGTCTGCTCCCAAAAAAGAGAAGTGATTTATTGGTGGACCAAATCTTCAATGGTATATATATCATCATCATCAAAACCTTATTAACATGTCTTAGTAGCTCAGTAGCCGAGGGTAATATCCCTTTACTAATTGGGGACTCTTAACAATATAATTAACAAAACCTATTAACTAATAAATGGTCAAAAGCCTATTAACTATTCGGTGCTATAAGCCTAGTTACACACTTGATATTAGAGAAACGGCGAAAAAAGCGCAAATAGCTCACAAGGCTGGATGTTTTAAAGCGTAAACGCGTTGATTTCACTTCGGCCTCTCCTCGCACTAGACGAAGAGGGCACGATTACATCAACGTTGGGTGATCCGTCGGTTAAAAGTAATGTGGCAAATCAGAACGGTAAAAGAATCACAACTGATTTGTGTTAAATGTAGATTTTATTGGGTTTTAAAATTTATTTCATGGCACGTGGACTACAAAATTATAAAAATAGGATTTCAACGTTTCGAATGAAGTTTTTCCGATTTAAGCCTGTACAAACACGTTAACAAGGAACGTTTACTCTTACCTATACAATTGAAACAGTACCTTAGGAAATTTCTGTAAGCATATTATATGTACCCTCGAAATTGCATTTTCTAGAAATAATTATTCAGCTTCGTCACTGAAGAACTTGTCCTTTCTCCTGTTCAAATACCAACAGTTTGCAGTTTACAGTTTTGACATTTTGAGGAATCCAGAGCAAAGGAAATTCTAATTTGTTTACACAGCTTTCTTTATAAATTCTAAAACACATTTCCTTGACTGACATTTAATTTTGAGTCATTTAGTTAAGCATATGAACTTTAAAGCTGAATTTATCCAGATTTGTTTTCGGTGTACAGCTGATTTTATTCAGCCCTCCTTCCATTTGGGTTGATCAGTTAGTATAAATAGAGCACTGTTATGCCTGTTTTTCGATTTAGTTACATTTTGCATGCACATGGCTCTATGATTTACGTCCACGATCGAGCTGAAGATTAAACTGTTAAGTCCAAGTTTGAGTGCTGTCCCGTTTTCCAGTTGTAGCAGATCCTGGTACCGTGAAATAGCGACGAGTTCCTTTCCCACTAGCCAAGCGAGTTGCAGAGTTAGTTTTCCCCCTTGTTGTTCACACGCCGAAGTCGCTGGAATGACCTTGACACTTATTTCCCCGATTTGTGCTTAGCAGGGCAACACCTATCGTCACATTTGCAAATAAAAGTCTGAGATACCACCAGATTGTTCGCGTAGGTGCTACGGTTACACTAGAGGATTCATAAATATTTCGGATTCAGGATTCCGGACTTATTTTCTTAGGAGTATTCAGGTCATTTCGTAAGCGTTCATACTAAAAACGCATTCGGATTCCCACTCAGTTTACACACATCGATAACACTGAGTGGCTTTGGCAACGACGACGGCGATAGCAACGAGAACAACGTCAAAAAGCAAAAAATTTTGCATGTGTGTAGCACGCTTTTTGGTGCATTTCTTTTCCGTGCACGAGCGCGACATGAAATCTTTTTTCAAGACGTTGTTTGGGGTGAAAAAAAAAACACACGATGATTAAACTTGGGTGCGGTCCCAAGGATTCAACTCCAGTGAAATTCACTTATTCATTTGCCGTTTTGAGCAAGTTGGAACGAAAGCAGAAAAGTTTGAAAAAAAGTGAGTTCTTTTTAATAGTGACGTCTTTGCTACCCGCTCGCCATCAATATTTTTAAAGCAACCTACATTTATGAACGTGACACTTTCATTTTGGTTTTACCGAAAACTCTTATGATCGAAGGAGGAACGTGTCATTATTCGTTGGAAGAATTGTGCACCCTACAAACAATAGCAGAATCAAAGGTAATTAGATACAAAGTATTCACCTCCGATTTCGGATCCAAAATCTTCAGAGACTTGAGAATGAGACTATAAATGCTTAGAACAACATTGACCGCACAGTAATGGAAAAGAACATCTCAAAGTTTACGTGGAATAGTAAGAGTTTTTTTACTGGGATTATTTTTACGAAGACCTTCAAGCATGTAATATCAATTCCCTCCCCCACAGACGGACTCTCATTATCTTGACTTTTCTTAGCACTTTGTAATTGACCGGATTAAGGCCGCAAGCACGATAACAGTTCCAGCTAAATTTCTCGCCTTATGCAACTCGCCGATGGCACAAAATCAAACTCCCGCAAATAATTAAGAGCCAAACAACGCGTAACGCCCCAGAAAAGTGAGAAGCGCACAAGTTTGGACTCATCGTACAACCACTTTAAGTCGATTCTCGCAGAAACCAGGGGCACCCAACGGAAATTTTCGGGAAAATATCTGTTCGGAAGACCGTTTGAGATCTAGAATTTTCGGAACATTTGTTGTAAAATTTCTTGCTCTCCTGCCTCTCCTAGGATTTTCGAACATTTACAAAATGGTATAATTACCCATTTTTAACGTATTTTTCCCTAAAAAGGGCCACCTAGAATTTTCGGGACCCTTTTCCTAGCTGAAATTTTCGAAAAGGTAAGTTTTGATCCCTATAATTTTCGGATCACTGGACTTTGAGCTAGGAAATCCGAACAGATGAAAAGTTTTTAGGGGATAAAAATATGCCTATATCTACCGTTTAAATACTAAAATACGTTCAACAATGCTGTGTTAAGTGGTTTTGAACTATATCGTCGTTGGGTACCCCTGAGAAACATCACCGCGGTAACATATTCTATAACTCGTATTCGTAATGAAAGATAAAGTGGGCCTCAAAATAGAAATACAGTACTATTCCTTAGTCATCAAGCCAAGACTACTTACCTGCCGTTTTCAGTTTACCTGACGGTGCTCTAATCAGTCTGAACAGTTTCAGGTAAATTCCTTCCGTAAATGGAAGAGAAAAAAAATTACTAATTAAACTTTAAGCTGTTCGTTTCCAGAAATGTGTTTGTCCTTGCTGTCTGTAAACGTCAACTAATCACATATGCATATGTCTGACAATTCGAACGATAACTGTTTGCGAACAATACTAGACAGTTAATCGAAATTTAATCTGGCGACCTTGGTATCAGAAGTTGAGACGGAATTTAAGCTCTCTCCAAGTAACATAGCTGGGTAACAAAAACGAAAAAATGACGAACTTGTGATCTGACTACGTGCCAATACGTTATCAGATAATGTTACCAAGTTTCCGGCCCAAAATGATAGTCTAGATTTCAGCTTTTAATATGACAAAAGCCTCTGTTGACAATTGAAGTTTGTAATACTTTTCAAATGTCAATATATTACAAAGTGATTGAATCCCCCGCAAGCCCATCTTCATTTTTTTCTGCCATAACAGGAAGAAATTTATCTGAACAAAAAGAGGCGATACTTAAAGTATTTTTTGTACCGAGTTGATTGTAAGTCAATTAAAACAAAGTTGGCAGAGTTTTGATTTTGGCTCTCTTTAAAGTTCTGAAACCCGGGCAAGCAGCTGAAACCCCCGTTTGAACTGAACTAAAAATGTCAACTTCCATTCAATGAACCAACCGACAACAGAATTCACTTTCAACCTGACAATGACGTCAAGATGCTAACCGAGTATGCTGCCAAACTGTTGGTCGTTTTTATACTTTTAATCTCTATGATCTTGAACGTGATCAGCTTGAAATTGTATTTCGTAACTGCGAGGAAGGCGTTTTGAGTGGGCTGGTTTGTATTCATTTCAATAACATAATATGCAATCTTAACGGGTTGACATATGCCCGGATCTAATTCACACGGTAATGAAATATTGACATGACACGGAAATGGTTAGATCAGTATTTCCCAGTCTATATCACTTACTTTTTATATTCCCCGGTTTTCTTTTTTCTGATCTTTTTTCTTATGCGCCCCTATTATTAAAATGATTTCGTAGTGACATTTAGGGACTACCGTGTATGCAAGAATTATCAGGAGGTGGTTTGTAACTCGGGAAAGGGGACAAAGTGTAGTAAAACAAGAAAAGGGGGGTGCAGTGTCTAAATTAAAGAGAAAAGAGGACCGGGTTGTTGACTTTTAATTTTAGACATGGAAAAATACGGTGTGACATCAATATAGAAAATATCTGAAAGTTACATGTGTACGGAAATACATCACAATAGAAGGCATTACAGCTAATAATAATGTAACTTCTGAATTTGTGTTCATTTAGCCTGAGAAAACAGCTGACATATTCACGACGTCACCACCTGTTTCCCCGCGAAATGAAGGAGCGTAGAGTACTGAAATTCCCTTCCAATGACTAGTCACTACCCAGTTCTGGGTGGTGCTTCCAAGTTTCAACCAATCAGAAGCATTCCAGACTCGCATGAGGCTTAGGCCGGTTCAGGAATTTGGGTCCCTACTGCTTAGGTAAAATTTTTTTACCTAAATCACTGTAGCAGCTGAAAGAGGAACCACACTAAAAAGAAGACAAGGCTTACGAAGGTGTTATAACCCGGATTAATCCTGACACGTTTTAGCGGCATATTTTCCTCATTAAGGTATACGAGTTTTCTTGAATGCCTGATATGTAATACAACAGCGATACAATAAAACAATGAGACGGGGTTATTCTTTCTTTGCTGTTATATTTTTCGTGGCTAGCGGTTTCGTGCCGGCTTGGATAAAAAATACACATCACCGGAATTTTCAGTTGTAAAACGCCTTTATCTTAGTTGCCATTGTATTGGTAAAGGACTACATAAATAAATTTGTTAGAGAGAAGTAAATACTTCAAACGTTTATTCATTAGACACAGGCAAATTAATGCCCCAGTGTATTTTGTTAAACACAGGCAAATTAATGCCCTAGTGTATTTGTTAGACAGAGGCAAATTAATGCCCCAGTGTATTTGTTAGACACAGGCAAATTAATGCCCCAGTGTTGTTGTTAGACAGAGGCAAATTAATGTCCCAGTGTTGTTGTTAGACACAGGCAAATTAATGCCCCAGTGTATTTGTAAGACACAGGCAAATTCATGCCCCAGTGTATCTGTAAGACACAGGCAAATTAATGCCCCAGTGTATTTTGTTAAACACAGGCAAATTAATGCCCCACTGCATTTTGTGAGACACAGGCAAATTAATGCCCCAGTGTATTTTGTTACACACAGGCAAATTAATGCCCCAGTGTATTTATTACACACAGGCAAATTAATGCCCCAGTGTATTTGTTAGACATAGGCAAATTACGGTTACCGTATTTGTTAGACGCAGGCAAATTTATAAGGATCAATTCTTGGCTTGAAAAATCACTTAGCATGCCTATATATCTAATGCTCAGGTTTACAGATATTTCCTGAGGAAAGATCCAGATTATGTAAGCCGGCTTATATTTACATGTATCGGGTTTATAACACACAAAGCTTAACATTTCTACGAGTAAAATGGTTTTCCCGTTCGAAGCCCCTCGGCTTTATTGATAGTAACGCCATAACGTTTAACAGTTTCATTAGCGACTGAGCTGGTCCTCATAACCACTTCTGAGCTTCAGCGAACATTAACATCAAGATCGAGTAGCATCCTTATAGCGTCACGTCTTCGACATAACAGTCCGCTCGCAATTATAGCCGAAACGTTTTCTTTATGTAAAGATTTGTAATTACTCACCTTGCGGCCGTGATAGTGATTATTTACCTGTTTCAGTGAAGATCACAAGATATCCAACATGTGCACAAGCTAAAATTAAACGAGAAAAAATTCGTCTTGAGCGCCATTGCATTTGAGCGCGCAGTAGAGCGAGATTTTTCCCGCTAATATTTCCGAATGTGGTATTGCTGTAATAAATTAATCCCAATAAGTAACGCAACATCTTACTCGTGTTCTTTGTTCTGTTGCTTTTTGTAAATCACCGTCAACGGATCCAAATGTTCTCTTATTCTGTTTTAACTGTTTCAAAGGGAGAAATATTTTTAGAGAGAATTTTTTTAAAATTGGAAATGGCAGACGCAACATCAAATTGCTTGTGACCGGATATGTAATCAATTATCTTACCGCAGATTGCCTTATGCCTAACCGCAAGGAAGGCAAATGGCCGGGGGATTTTAACGCCTGCCGTGAATTCCTGAACAGGCCTAAGCCTCTCATGGGTAGTGATACGTCATCAGTATGTAATTTCTACCCTCGTTGTCCAGACTTCATTTCACAACGAAACCAGCGGTGGCGTCTCGAAATGTCAGCCGTTTTCTCAGGGTATATTTTCATTTGTCCCGTCTATTTTCTTAGACGAGGTTTGCATTAAAACCTCTGAATACTACCTCAGCTGCTTCAAGAAACCAGTTGTACATTAACAAGTCTCTCAGGCTAGCTTTATCGAATTTTCCCTGGTGACATGGAAATGTTACAAGTTTTTTAATTTTTTTTTTCTGTTTCCAACTTGTCTCTTTTCTTTTACCTTTTTCCCTTCTCCTAGATCTGGATTAATTTTTGTTAATAATCCAATAGAATATTTTTCTTTGTATTTTTCCACTCCAGTTGCGTGCTCTCCAATCAGCAGGGTGAGAATCTCTTGAATATCTGCCAGTTATTGAGCCCATGGATAGACAGTCCTGTTTGTAATTTGTTCATTCTGTCATTGGAGACAGAGAGTTCCGTTACGTTCTGCTATTATATCTTTACATTCAAACGCGAGGTTTCCTACCTTACAAAGGCAGAAGTGTACATTGTCATGTGACATGTAATTTTAATGAACTGACAAAATCCTTCCTTGATTCACACTGCATTGTCGTTCTCTTCCTAGTTTTTTTTTTTTTTTCACCCAACCAAAGACGCCACTGACCAGCTTTCTCTTTGTAGCTGTAGTAAAATTTACAGTTCTGCTTGTAACCAGGCATGACCACCCAATATGGAAGAACGTGGGTAAGAAACAAATTCAGCATTTCTACAGGGAGCTTCAAGTCTGCTTTTAGTCGAATTTTACCCATTTCAGAATCCCTTTGGATAATTGGTGCACCGTCCCTTAGCAACACTCTCTCTCTTATTGACTCACAATAAAACCATCTATTTAAAAGTCGGCTTAAGAAACAACGTAGTTTGTGTGAAAAACAAATAGTTGTTTAACTCTGGGACTGTAACCTAGCGAAAACAAATCAGACTTTCTTTTCTTTTTTTAAAATAAGCCTTGCGAAAAAAAAAGTGTATTAGTTTTTATGTTCATCCGTGCAATTGATAGCCTGCGAACAGCAGACGCATTTCCGGTCGTCGCTTCTCTCCCTCCGAAAAATAGCGTCTGCGACGGCGAGCGGCAAAACGATTTTCGTGCCGTAAAATCTTTTGTTTTGATGTTGGCCTATCAGATCAAAGGATAGAATACAGCTCGAGTGACTCCTCGCGACCTCGCACGCTGGAGTGTCTTGGATTTCGGCGAGAGTTACCAAATACGCTTTGGAACGTGACTTTCACGACCCTGAACAAGGTCTTCTGCGACGTTGAATGCTGACGTCTTTATGAAGCATGTAACTGCTTCTTAAGCTGTGCATGTGATGTGGGCCTTGGGTTTCGCTTTGTAAAATACGGTAGTACGTGTCATAAACAAGACCTGGACAAAATAATCGCTACAGCGAAAGGAAAGTAACATAGCTTAATGACATCGCGCCCGGGCATCGCGCTCAGACTTATTTATTTCAATTTAACCAGCGCTCACAAAAGGTGGTGAGTCAATTATGCAGACACATCCTTGACTGATTCAGAAATCTCTGACAATCGCTCCTCAATAATATCGCCACAACACAATGATCTGAAATATTATAAACCTGGGCCAGACCCAGCTTGAAATAAATAGTTACAGCACTAAATTGATCATAGTCAAGATAACATTTCAGCTGCGACACTTCGACTCATCTTACAAAAAACTATGGAAATTAAAACCTTGAAAAG